CTTTTAATTCGTTGATTATATTAAAGATATCAATGTAAGGAAGAAAAATATGTTCTCCCTCGAAAGTGAGTCACTATTTACCAACGTTCCACTCAAAGAAACTGTTTATCACATTTGTCAATATATAGACGAAAAACAGCTGAACATCGGATTACCGACAGCTTGTTCAAAAGAACTACCACTGAGATGTACACACAATGTACATTTCACATTCAGCGATGTTATTTACAGACAACAAGATGGGATCACAATAGGATATCCACTGAAACCATTACTAGCGGACTGCTTCATGGCAAATCTCGAGAACGGCCCACTCAAGTCAACTATCGACAATTTCCAATTATATGCTAGATATGTGGACGACATCTTTATTATCTGTGATGACGGTCACGATCTCAATCAGTTACTACAAATATTCAACAAATGCCACTCAGCTACAAAGTTCACTCTTAAAACTGAAAACGAATCTAAAATTCCTTTTCTTGATATCGAACATACAAGGAGAGCTGACGGAATTTTAAGAAGGTCCATCCATAGGAAACCCACATGGAACGGCCAACTGACAAGCTTCTACAGGTGGATACCAATCAGTCGAAGAAGAAACCTAATTGGATCTCTTACTACTCACGTCCAACGCATCTGCAGCTGTGATATCCTGCAAAAAGAAGTACACTTCCTGAAAGAAATCTTCATACAAAACGGTTACCCATCAAGATTCTTAGACAAAAACATCAAACAGAAAATCCAAAAGCAAGAGACGTCATCCGTGCCAAAACAGATACTTTATATGAACCTCGACTACAAAAGTGATCTACTCAGTGATGTCCTTAGGAGGAGAATTTCCACTTCTTCGAGAATAACTTTCATTGCGGCAACACTGTGAGTAGTGTTCTTCAGTCGCCTGCTGATCTGCAGAGGCCCAAAAGACAAGATCCCGCACCTGACCAATTCTATGTGTATACATCAGTTCACCTGTTGCTGTGGAGCCAGGTACACAGATTGTTCAACGTCCTGTCAATAGGATCTTGTCAAAAAGGGTGAAAGAACACTATCCAGCGTGTCTACAGAAAGGAAGTAGTGGCCATATAAGGAGTGCAATAATCGAACATGTCGTCACCAATGGTCATTCCACATCAGCAAACGCCTCCTTCAAAGTAATCTACAAGGTGAAGAACAATCTGACAAAGACAATACGTTTCCATCTTCTTTGCACTGCAAAAGCCCTAGCCATTCATTTCGAAGAATCAGAACTATGCATACAAAAGAAAATTATTCAACCAATTCTACTGTCATGGTAACATTTCTGTTGATTTGACTTAACTTTGGCTTGTATGCTTATTTTTCCATCTACTTAAAACTCTTGCTTCCATATACACCCTGAACACAACTCTCTCATCAAACTATTCATGTTCTTCCGTAACTCTTCTTTAACAATCGTTTGTGACAACTCATCACTTTTGTTACTATCGTCTCATATCAACATCCAATTCATCTGAACTTACTAATTGTATTTTCATTTGACAAATTTAATGTACACATACAAAACACCCATGTATATTTGTGATTGTACAGCTGAAAAAATGAATTCGCCGAAAAAGACTCTTCGCTGAACTACTGGTCTTCTGCCTATTAATGTTCGAATGGGAATTTTTCATAAATTAAAAAGTTACTTCTATCAATAATAATTATTCTGTCACCTTTCTTATTTAATCTTCCTGTTTATTCTTGTTATTCTTAGGTTATTTTTTAATTTCTATCTGCATTACTATGTTTTGTATCCAAACTTCCCGCCCATTTCTTATTATTACGTTTGTAATCCCTAAATGTACAAAAAGTCAAGTTTCCCGGTAATTGTGATCTTACTAAGTTTTTATTATCCGATTTTCCAGTTCGGTGCACTTTGTAATTTTAATAATTTCACCTTCGGCAGTTATTAATTCTGAAACCTTCTCACTCATTTATCACAAATACACCAATGTACAGCTTAGTTGATGACTTTGACGAAAAGAAAATTGTCTTCGGTGTAACCCACTTCCTTATATTTCCTATGATCTCATGTGTACATTTCGCTAAATAAATTGTGCAATTAATCATAATAATCGTACAACTAACAACAATAATGCCAATATTAATAACGATTCTATCAGTAACAAAGACGAAAAAGTGGAGCGATCTGTGATAACTCGAATAATGAGAAATAGCATGATTAAACAAACAAACCTTCAAATAGACGTAGTCGACAAAGGCCAGGAGACACAAACAGACCGATTTAGTAATACTAGATTAAAAATCTGCCATCATGGTTCGGTAAAGGACAGACAAAAATCATCCAACGCTCCGTTTTTTATTTTATGTGAAGTCCATCTCTTTCTGTTTGTGAGATTATCAGAACACATCTGATCTGGTGAAATTTATAAAATCAGTGGACTACTACCCCTTGATTAATTTCCCGGGCTACTGAAGAAAGACTATAACATATTACGCAGGATGTTAAAGGTTGTCAGCAGGGTTAGCAACGTGCCACTTAACCAGCTTGTTAATATTCTGGTTGACAGGCACATGGACTCAAGTGAAAAATGGGCCAAATCCATTTTGTCTGACTCACACCACCCTCTTCACTCACAACTCTCCCCTTGCATCTCATCAGGCAAAACCAGAAGCTTATATAGAAAACTATATGCTCGTACCAAAACTCAACCATACCCTACTTGGCTCGTGTTCTGTGCGATAAAGAAAGCATTAGACGTGATACCTATAACTTATTAAATAGTCAGTAGAACAACTGGATCTCGTCTTTCCAACTCATATCATTTATAGGTACAACATTTTCTTTTTTTCTTTTCCTTTTCTCTCTCTTTTTTTTCCGTTATGTGCTGCTTTGTTTCTTTCTCTCGCTTACGCCAGTAAATATGATAGCACCTACTTTTCTAACACCTTCAAACACTGTTCAACTTTGGCTTTGCTACCGACATGCCAATATGTTGTTGTCATAATGAACTGAGATTTCCTTAATCTATGTAGAATTCTATTTATTGATAATGTACTAACTGGATGCAATACTGTAGTAAAAATGCTGAGAATTCCATTCTGTATCACAAGTACTGTTTTGGAATGAAGCAAATTATTATTATATTGTAATACCACCTTATTTAGTAAATTGTTTTGTAAGCTGGAAACCTAGTGTATCTTAAGACCTGATGATCGCTTTGGAATTAATCGAATTCCCATCTAACCCAAAAACTCAGCGTAAGCGCACTGGGGATTGTCAACTGAATTTTCGCGATGAATGTCTGGAGTTAAAACATAATGCGGAAACTAGCGGCTTGAATAAGTGACTGATCTACATAGTAGTTTGGTTGATTGAAGCTTAACGAAAATCGTAAGTGTTCCGAAAAGATCACCATAAAATTAATTTATCCCCTTGTGAAATAAATCCAGTCATAAAACAGAGATTTTCCAACCATTGATTTTAACATGTTTAACCTCAGAGCCTGATGAAGACATTACTGAAAAAAACTATTCACTCAAACGTTTCTCTCTCTGAAAATCTAGGGGGAGATTTAAAAAGATTAAATCTTTTGACAATCGCTGAGATGTAAATAATTCACATTCATAAACACTAGTGGTTTTCGTTGCTGGCGTCGGTGGCACAGTGGTTAGGACTCTCGCCGACCATGCATATGGTCCGGGGTTCGACCTCCTACCGACGTACACCTGATATCAATGGTAGGCCTGCAAAATTTGGGCTGTCGATATCACATGCTGAAAATTCCATACTTGTACCAAAAATACTGTGTGGAATCAAGCTATAATCAAAACAAAATCAAAAAAATAGTACTTAGTATTGTTTTTTTATCTGATAGTGTCAGTTGCTCGGACGTTTCCTCTTCATAACCAGACATATACTTGTTATTTGTTCTATATTTACAAAATAACATCTAGTCTCTATAACAGGAGCACCCTTTAGTGGTCACGTGATACTTTTCATTACCAGCATAGGTTTTTACTTCTTTGAAATTCCCTAAAGTGTGAATAGAATGATGCACCTAACGTTCTGACATCCTTAAATCATATACTAAGTTGTACAAGAGGGACAAATTTCTAATGCTCCAGTTACTTGACACTGTAACTGAGACAAGACTGTTATGAATATGTTCGAGCTGATAAGGATTAGGTGAACGTATGGTTTCATTTGTAGGCGTCGGTGGCACGGCGGTAGAGTGCTCGCCGACCACGCAGGTGGTCCAGGGCTCAGTCTCCGGTCACCGACGCACTCCTTTACCTCGCCAAACCAGTAGTAAGGCTGGTAAAGAGGGAAGGTTGGTCATGGGGCTATCAACCTCATCCCGTAAAAATAATCACCACTGCCACAGAAACTTCAAGCCTCCAGCTTGAAGCCCTATGTTCCACTGGGAACGTAAGGGAATAAAAAATAATAATATTAGAAGGTATTTTTACTGCAATCAAATTAAATGACTGCTGTCTTCATTCATCTAGTGACAACGCCTACTTCCCTCAAAAACACGGGAAATTCACTTGGCTAGCTTGTGTGACATTCACATTTTTTAAAGATTTCACATAGATATTGTCACACTGAATTGAAATCACTATTCCTTTACAAGATTTCTTTACAATTTTACAGAATCTTTATTCATCTCTCATAGAGTTGTATATTTATGTACAATTCAGTACTGATAATAGATTGTATAAAAAAAACAGGTGAATAAGAAATTGAATGAATTTTTGATTACTATTCTACAAATAATGAAAAGAGAAAGATGAAATGAAAATGAAGTGAAATAGAATAAGAATGAGTAAAACAATTTTCATAACATAAAATAATAGTTTCTGTAAATCTGTGATAATGTGAGGATGAAGATGAGGAGAATGATCACGATGATGATGATGATGAAGATGATGTTTTTTGTAATGATAATAGTGCTAGGAGAGGTGGGAGTTAACAATGCAGCAGACGTTCTCTGATTTGTTTTCTCTATTCATCAGCTTTTTTGTGATAATTTCGACGTTATATCTACAAGATTATGCTTGAAAATTTCTAAACCATTGCCTTTTAATTCACCCTTTTCAACAAGGTCAAGAATTATCTTCCACTTGCTACGGTTATTTTCTATAGTTTTTAAGATACCGGAGCATTGTGGATATAGATTGTTCAGTACCCTATAGAAAATAAAGAAGAGAAAGAGTGTTTGTTTATTAAGTTTATCTCTTTTTAAGCAATACTTTGATAAATGAAGGGATATTTGTCCAAATTTATTTCACATTTTATAGTTTAAACAAAAATGTTGACATTCGGCATATGATATTCGTTGCTGCGAATGTTTCTGTATTTTTCAATGAATGGAAAAACAAAACAGCATTGTTTTAACTGACGATTTGTTATTTAGTGTCAGTAATGTACTTATCAAAATAATATCATTAAATCAGAAATCACAAATTCTCAGCCTACATACAGTAAAATAATCACAATTTCTCAACATAAGGTAATTTTTAAGTTGTCAAGTGGATGGATGATTGGTGAAGATAACAAACCATATGCAGATGGATAATTCTGTGATGAGAGCTGTCTGCAATCCAAGGTTATAGACAACAGTTTTCGTCAATGTTTACGTCCCGAACTGGGGTCATAACAATGACAAAGCTTAACCTTGAGGAACTCACCAACCAATCACAGCAGACTTAACGTGTGCAAATGCGATTCGCAGATATATAGCTTAACTCTCTAAGAAACGGTCACAAGCAGTACAGAATAACCTTCAGCAGGAAAACAACCAATCAGAAGACTTTGCTTCTCCTCTAACAGTAACGCTAATAACAATGTACATAACAATCTATAAATATCTCTTGATTTTCTCAATAAACGATCTGTTGCCTGGCCCTTGTCTTCTGTCGTTACAATTGTATGAAAACAGCATGTGTTTACATGATGAAACTGCTCATCCTATTTGTGTTGATTTTATCCCTTTATTGGGATTTACCGGAACCAGGTAAAATTCTGTCCTTGTCCTTCATTCCTATTCAGACAATTTAGATTCCACTTAATGTAAAGTGCTTCTAATGTGAGACGTTACTTGTGATCTCAAAAATTTTCCTAGATGATAATTATTTTGTCAAAATCAATTTTGTAGCCTTATTCGATAGCGGGTAAACTTGTGGCTGACAATTTTTTTCAAGGTTTACTAGTTCCATTTGTGTTCATTTTCTTTATACTGATTTCTCACGAGGTTTGTTGGATGTATATCGCATCGCATTCTGAGCATTTAACTGTATCGTTGCAGTTAAATTGTAAATACCTTAGAATTCGGTCTTTCACAAAAGTCGGTTTTTTAGTGCATCTGATGTTATTATCTCTTTTGCATTACGAGTTGTGAAACTGATACAACTTTAATATAAATAGCTTTTTTTTTTTTTTGATCTTTCAGTCATATAGTGAAGATGCAAAACACTGAATACCATTCTAAACATATTGGTGGGGACAGTACCACAGATGTGTTGATTCTGTGAATATTAAAAAGTCGAGAGAATCATTGTTAGCGTGTTTGAAACCTTGAAGCTGACCACTTTTCTGGTTGATAGCATTCAATTTACGTTTACTAAACAATTAAATAATTTGTCTATGTAAGATCTCATGTTCCCTTATCATTTGCTATAGTAACGCATCGACTTTTGAAAGCTGAGTTATTATAAAGTTGAAAAGTAAGTACTTAAGTACTTTCGATATATATCTAGTGGAACAATCAAGTTAGAAGTAGAAAAGATCAATAGAGGTACTTAGAATATAAAATTCTCAATGCAAAGATGAACAAAAAATTGTCAGTCTTTTATCCAAAAATGATAGATTGCGATTTTACCTTACTGTTGGTATTCATATTATCAGTAATATCTATGCCAAGTAATGGACATTTTAAGGAGGTAAAACGCTTTTTTGGAAACCAATATCAGGTATGAATTCAATTGGTGGATGGTGACTAACAGTGGAATCCAGGATGCGCATTTCGTCCTATTCGGGATGTACCTGCATTCTCCAGTGAGTGATGGCTCTCATGGCCCAAGTGGTCTAGTAGATAGCGCTTTGGTAGGCGCTGGGTTCGAGCCTTAGTGGGAACATCATCACTCACTGCGGAATGCAGGTACTTGCAGATGACGAGTCCCGAATAGGACGAAATGCTCATCCTGGATTCCACTGCTAGTCACCATCCACCAGTTAAATTCTAATTACATGCCCAGACATTGCCGAAGCATCTGCACAAGAAGCCGACATGTCAACCTGTGACCGAGCAATTCGGTCCAATCAATTGACGAGAAAATCTAAAATTCAATTAAACAATATCAGGTTTACCTTAAGCTTTTGGCATAAGGACTACATTTTAAGATTTTGCCTTGAGCACTTATTTACACTTATGGTATAAGCAAAACTGGATTAATGAAATCTTTATCCTTATTTAGAATGCTGTACTGTACTGATTATTAGAGCTTTGGATGTCTCCTTGAAAGTATTACACCATGTGCACATATTTCTTCTTTTCAGTCTTAGTAACCCATTTAAGATTAATGCCAGTGTTAAAAAGTTTTGCTTACTTGTACAATGGAGTAATTATGTAGTCTAAGAAAGCTATTTGTAAATTTGGTACACATGCTCTTTCTCTATCCATACTGTCGACTGGATTATGACCCAATGATTTCTCCATATCGCCTTGATGGAAAAATTCCTCGTATATTAATTTTGCCACGTAGACTGTATTACTCCATGATTTAGTTTGATCACTTAGATCAGCTGATGTCATTAAAAGACATAAAAGAAGGTAGTGATCCTCTTGTGACCCATTATATCCTCGATGAGATAGTTCTTCTAATTTGGGCATTATACGCAGATGATGAGATAAATCAGTTGCAAGTATGATATCACGAATAAGATCTAAGAGTTGACTGTATTCCTGAAGTTTATGAAAGTAAAAAAAGGTTATGGTTTTATGCATTTAAGACACTGAATTATCGGATGAAACAATCAATAATTAAATAAGGCAGTCGTTGTGACTCAAATACAAACAAAGTGAAATAACGAATTTAGTAGAATAACGTTTATACCAAAGCAAGGGAATACAACATATACTCTATGGTTTCCAATAATTTCCTCATGAAACCAAACGTGTAGTCTTTTTTATAAGACTCTCTATTTTAATGCATATTGCTTATATTATTATTATTGCTTTCTTTAGTTCCTAGAGGAACATAGGGCTTCAGCTGCACGTTTCCGTTGCGTTCGGTTCTCCGCCAACGTTTTCACCTGGCTACACGTCTGCACACATGCTTTCATCTCCTCTTCACATGACCTCCTCCATGTCACCCTTGCACTGACAACCAACTCACCACTTCCCATTCGGGTTCCACTCGAGAAATGGCCTGGCGTGTGATGTCACTCACTTGATGGTTTGTTTTGTCAGAGTATGGCCAATCCAATCCACCTCCATTTCTTCCTGTTTATTTGTTGCACACTCGGTTCCTGCTGGGTTGATTCCGTCATTGCCAGAGATCCCTGTTGCTTACCTTTTCTAGCCGGCCATCTGATCTTAAGTAGTACTAAGCGAAGACAGCCGTTGATGTTGTGTGGTTTATTCGAAGTGCCATTCGTGATGCGACGCCAAATCTCTAATCCATAAAGTAGCACTGACTTCACATTGGAGTTGAAAATCTGGATCTTATTTTCATTTCCATGCTGAGTACTGTTGATGTCCACACAGAATTGAGAGAAATGAAAGCGTACCTTGCTTTCCCGATCGTTGCTATGATATCCTCGTCAGTTCCCTGTTGCTGAACGATGAATCCCAGGTAGTTACTAGGTGAAGGAGGTTGCTTCTTTCAGATTTCTCCCATTTATGCTGATTGTTGTCTGTAGTTAATTTTTATGTTGCTGTTGGCCAGGAATCTTCATCACCTCTGTTTTCTCTATGTTCATCTGAAGGCCTATCTGTGGTGCTTCTTCTGCCAACTTGTTGCTTTTCACTTGCATATCTTCCAGTTTGTGGAAGATCAAACAAATATCATCGGCGAAGTCCAGATCCTCCAAGTTTTTTTGGGTCCATTTTATAGCTGTTTCCCCGTTGCCCACCATTGTCTGTAGCATTACCCAGTTTACCGCACTCAGGAAAATCATTTGAGACAGTAGGCAGCATTGTCTTACTCCGGTCTTCACTTCGAAGGATTCCGTGAGTTTCCTGTTGTAGATTACTTGGCATACAGCATTGTCGCACAACTTTTGGATAACACGTATAATTGTTGGCACATTGCTTACTAAATGATAATGAACTGAGGCTTCGTCGCACACTTTTTAATGTCCATGTGCACCAGTGGTATTAGTAGAGTATTCGCTTTTTATATTATATATATATTACACACCAGTCTACAGAAAACAATCTTTTTAGTTTAAGTGAAATATTCTTTTTTTAAGGATAATTCTCACTTCCTGTAGATTGATTATGCTAGACTGAAATTTTCGACTTCTGTTGGAATTTTGTCTCCTAGTGAGGACACATCGGCTATATTTAGGCATCAAGGTGGAGTTATTTTGCTTGACGATGACTGGTGGAAGGTTCTAGATTATGCATTTTGTTCTAGTATTTTTAATGAAACTTGAACTCTAAACGCATAGTTCTGCACTCCACAACACTATTCACTAGGCCACGAAAGCCATTTTTTGTACAACAACTACTACTATTATTTGTTTTTAGGTTAATCATAATCAGTCAACAGGATATGCGAATCAACCTAGCAAAAGAAAATAACCAGTATCCATTGACCAAGATGTGTTCGTGGAAAATACGCATTAAAACATAAGAAACAAGAAAACACGAAGTTCGGCAAAGATATCTTTTCAGCGATTTCATTTCGAAAGCTGTACAATAGCATTTAAATACATAAATTTACATAGATACAATTATCATTTAATTATACGAGTGTGACTACGGATTGATATCAGTTAGAGAACCATTGAAAACCAGCACTAAAATACTGGACAGCTGTTTCATACTAGTTTGTTAGTCATCGGCAGTACTCACCCCCTGAGGTTCGAACCCAGGACCTTCCGTTTACAAGGCAAGCTCGTATATCATTCAGCCACTGAAACCGGATTCAATGGCCCATGCCGCGGGATAGAGTTTCTTCTGGAGTTTTAGTGAGAAGCCATGACCAGTGAGCTCCAACCAGTCAAGTGTGAGGATGGATTTCCCACCGATGATATTGGTTGGTGGTCTCGCAAAAATCACGAATTGGTAGAAGTTAAAATTCATGGACCATTGAGTCGGGTCCCATTGGCTAAATGGTCTAGCAGCTCGCCTTGTAACCAATAGGTCCTGGGTTAGAACCCCAGTGGCTGAGTACTACCGATGATTCTCAAAAACTAGGATGAAACAGCTCTCCAGTACTCCCTGGTTTTCAATGGTTCTCTAACTGATATCAGTCCGTGGTGAAACTCGTATAAACAAATATAATCCTTACAAACCAAACTCTTGAAAATTATTATTTAATTCCACATAATTACACATGCGAATAAAAGGTGACAATTATTTCCAATTTAATATGGATTACGAGAGGCTTAGAAACAAAAATTACACAGGATTAGATGGTGTTACAGGTGTTTATTTTGCTCACGCAAGTAACTCGTTCTAATCCTGTGTAATTTTTGTTTCTAAGCCTCTCGTAATCCATATCAAGCTGAAAATAATTGTCATTTTTTATTCACCTTCGTAATTATGTGGAATTAAATAATAATTGTATCTATGTAAATTTATGTATTTAAATACTTTTGAAAATGATATGCGATAATCATGAAGGTAAGAGTCGTCTACCGGATATATTCAGCTCCGTACAGAATCATGTAACTCTTACATGCGAAGAAGAAAGTTTCAACCAACTTGCATTTTCAGACATACTTCTGAGTCGCAGAGATGATGGTCTAGTGAAGCAACCAATTCACAGAAAGCCCACTTGGACATGGAAGTGTTCAAATTTTCCCAACTTCTTTCCACTACAGTATAAGAGAGGCTTGGTGAAGTGATTATTCAATAGGATTCAGCCGATGTTATAGAGGATGAAAATAAAATACTGATGGATACTCTTGGTGGGAACGGGTATCCTTTGAAATTTTTAAACTGATGAGGAAGTCAGTTAATATTAAAGCCGAATGATGATAATAATTGCTTTTTTCCAAAGAGTATTTTTGTAGAAATATGGAATTTTCAGCATATAGTACAGTATTGCATTTAACTGAATCATTACAGTGGTAGTAAGTAAAACAGGGCATTAACATTGATAATATTGTTCACTAAGAATATGAACATAAAATTAGACTAAATTAGAATATCAAAAATGTGGGCCGTTGACTTAATTTGACTCAGTAAGTTGGCAGTGTCCTGCCTTACACTCTTCTCATCACATAAAATGTGTGACTGCAAATAAGGTATGGCAAACTTTTCATACTTAGTCGTCCGAGCATATAGTCTTCTATAGTTGCTTCTAGTTCTACCTGATGAGATGCAGCAAGGAGAGAGTTGTACATAGAGAGAATGCTCAAGGTCTGACAAGATAATATTTGCTTATTTCGTGCATGAATTTATGCACCTATAATCCTTTCTGTTCCTAAGAAAGATGTCTTCATTAAATTACCATACTGTAGGAAATAAATAGTAGGATTTTAAGACAGACACTAAACTCGGTTATCTGTAGAACCTATTATGCAGCCCGGCTTATAATTATCGAAAAAGCCAAAAACATTCCACTACAAACCTCAAGAGTTCACAAGTGAATATGTCACATCTCGCACTAAATACCAGTTTACGTGTGTGTGGACACATACATAGGAAGGAATAGTCGTGCTTTGCACATGAAGGTGGAAGAGCACATTTTGAAGTGGTTAGAAACCCAAATGAAGTGTGAAACATCGACAGATGCAGGTGGCAGACTACCTACTTCGACTAAAACTAAACATCTAACTGATATGAACCACAAGACTGATGTCAAAACAGCTTTCAAGGTTATTTGCAAAAGCGGTCAAGGGCGCTTAGTGGAGTACACTGAGGCGATAGCTATTTGTAAACAGGAGGGAGAATTTATGCATACGTTTAGTGACGTCGAATAGGGGTTCTAGAGGGCGACACACAGAGTCATGAAGAACTCATATATGTGAAGTTTTCAGACATGGGGGAACGAAGACGTCTGTGGACCTTGTCTGGAGGGGAGCAGTTTTAACTGAACGCATTGCGTTTGTAAGCCTACTGACGTATGAAGCGTGATCTACAGTCGTGGTGTTGTACCATATACTAGCTCAGCAGTAATACAACCAGTATCAGCTTTCAAGGTATTTCGTATACCTAGAAGAACTCATGGTAGTGGTTCAGTTCAATGTACGGTGTTTGTGGTTGATAATCCAGTCTTCAACTGCCGGTTTAAACGTTCTACCATACCATTTGCTTGAGGATGATAGGCCGTTGTTCTGAAACGCGCACGACCTACGAATTTATTTAAAGTTAAAAATGAGTCGCTTTTGAATTGCTGCCCGCGATGAGTCATTATGGAATATGGACATCCAAAATTTGTGACCCATCGTCCCACAAAAATGCATGCGACTGTTTCAGCAGATACATCCTCCAAGAGCACTGCTTCAGGCCAACGTCAAATATGAATATAACCGTGATATTCTGAGAAGGGTTCAACCAGATCTATATGAACGTTTACGAAACGAGCATCAGGGGTTAGGAAAGTGCTTAGGGGGCTTCTAGGGGGGCCTTACTACTTTTCCTATTTTGTCAAGCTAGACACGTAAAAGCCCATCTCCTTATTTTCTTATTAATACCAGGCCTACAAAGCTGAATAGTAATGAGCTTGACGATAGTTTTCATACTTATGCGAAAGTAGTATCCCTACTGAATTTATTCAATCTCAAAGAAAGATCTCTACATTAAATCGCCTTACAATGAGGAAATAAATGATAAGATTTTAAGGCAAAGATTAAATTTGGTCATCAACAAAACATACTATGAAATCCACCTTGTATTTAGCGGATAAGGTAAAAGCATGCTTTTCTGGAAGCTTCAACATTACACAAGGGATTATGTCACATCCCGTATTATGCACTAGTTTGCAAGTGTGTGTGTGTGTATGGTCATGCATACATAGGCAATAGTGGCGCTTTGCACATGAATTGGGGGAACATAAACTCAAATGGTATGAGGGGTAAATGAACTCTGAAACCTTGATAAACTCAGGTGGCAGGCTACCAACCTCGTCTATAGCAAAACGCTTAAATGATATGAATAATAAATCTCGCTAGTATTTATAAAAACCAGTCAGGGTGCTTACTGAAATACGCTGAAGTGAAGGCTACCTTTAAAATTAGGTCAACCCTTCTGTTTACACAAAGGCAGTTTGTTATTGCCCTTAACCTATCTTGGTAATCCTTATCTGATTACATAACCGGACGCTGTCTTAACTATTCTTATTATACTTAAATCCTTTTTTGTCACTTTATATATTTTAATTGGCCTTTATATTTCAAATAAATTGACTTGACAAGAAAATATGTGATCAGATTGTTCAAAATGGATTGCGCAAATACATCACATCACTTTCCAGATAATCTCCGTCTTCTAATAAAAATATCTTAATTTATAAAGAGGACTAATTGTTTTAAGTGCGTCGGTGTCACAGAGGTAGAATGCTCGCCGACCAGGTATACGGTTCGGGGTTCGATCCCCAACCATCGACGCACTGTTAAAGAGGGAAGGTTGGTCATGGGGCTAGTAACCCCATCCCGTAAAAATAATCACCATTGCTACAGAAAATTCAAGTCTCTAGCTTGAAGCCCTATGTTTCACTGGGAACGTGAAGGAAGAGAAAAAAAATTGTTTTAAACTTTGTGTGCAATTTAGCCTAATAATACACTTTTCTCCAAGCTTTGGGTGTATATAAATATATGAACATCTATCCAGTGGGAAGGTATTTCACCAAAATCTGTGATTTCGATACATTTTATGTGTATTTATCGTAAAGAACAGAATGAAGTAGAATGTTGAGGATGAATCGGTTCTAATTTTTTTAAAATTATCCATTATTTTTGTCACGTAGCAATGACTATTAATTTATGACTGTATCTTTTTTTAAGTACACGATGTTGCATTTAATTATTCAGGTTGAACATCGAAGATAGTAATGATTGATTCATCGCTGAATATTGTTCGTGTACTGAGTACAGGTTTCATTTTAAGCCTACTAGAGAAGTTAAAGCATTTTTTAAGTTTTGCATTTTCTACTTTAAATAATTTAGTAGGCGTTTTGTAGAGTTAGCAGATAATGTTTCATTTGATATTCACTAGGCATTTTGTAAAATATTTTATTTTATTTGACATTACAGTTTTATCAATGTTTGCCGATGTTGAATATCACCAAAAAATATTCTACTTTCTTAGAAAACAATTTTGTATTTTATTCTGGCAACTACTTCGCTACTACAAGGTGCCACTGACAATTATTCATCTCATCCAACAGTTGTACGAAAATGCTGCATGCCAAGTAATCCACAATGGGAAACTTACGGAACCCTTCGAAGTGAAGACGAGAGTAAGGCAAGGCTGCCTACTATCTCCAATGATTCTCCTGATTGTAGTAGGCTGGATAATGTGACAAACAGCGGGCAATGAGGAAACAGGCATAAAATGAACTCACACAAAAAACTTGGAGAATCTGGACTTCGCCGATGATATATGTCTGATTTCCCATAAACTGGAAGATATGCAATTGAAAAGCAACAAGGTGGCAGAAGAAGCATCAAAGATAGGACTTCAGGTGAACAAAGAGAAAACAGAGGTGATGAAGATTCCTGGCCAACACCACCACCAACATCAACAGACAACAATCAGCATAAATGAGAGAAACCTGAAAGAAACAACCTCTTTTACCTACCTGGGAAGCATCGTTTCAGTTACAGGTGGACAGATGTGACGAGGATATCAAAGCAAGAATCGGGAAAGCAAGAGAAGCTTTCACTACTCTCAAGTCTGTGTGGAGGTCAACAGCTTTCAGCATCAAAAATGAGATCCGGATTTTCAACTCCAATGTGAAGTCAGTCAGTGCTACTATATGGATCAGAATCTTGGCGCGTCATAAAGAGCATCTCAAACAAACTAAAGACCTTCATTAACAGTTATCTTCGCTCAATACTCAAGATCAGATGGCCGGCCAGAAAAGATCAGCAACAGAGAGCTCTGGGAGCGAACCAACCAACCAGGAACCGATTGTGAAACAAATAGGCAGGAAGAAATGGAGATGGATTGGCCATACTCTGAGGAAACCATCAAGTGACATCAATAGACAAGCCATCGCTCGAGTGGAACCCGAAAGGGAAGCGGCGAGTTGGTCGTCAGTGCAAGGGTGACTTGGAGGATGTCATGTGAAGAGGAGATGAAAACGTGTGGGCAGACTTGGAGTCAGGTGAAGACTCTAGCAGAGAAGCGAACGCAATGGAGACGCACGGCTGAAGCCCTATGTTCCTGTAGGAATTAAAGGAAACAATAATAATAATAGTTTTTAGAAATTCATTTGGGGCTAGGATAGCTTTCTCGAATATTCCTTTTTCATTGTGTCAACGAATGAGTATAGTGTGTATACTTATTACTTATGCATTTGAACGTCATAATACTGAATACTCTTCATCTCCGTTACCAAAGTGATTTTTACTAAAACTTCTGAAATATTGTCAAGGGGATTTGTTACCGCATATGTCTACATTCACTCCAATAAATGATTATGGTTGTGTGCGATCAAACTTCTAACTACACCATCTATCTCAGTGGACTTAATTGAATACAACTGACGTTTATTGACTCGTTATTACATTTCAGACGTTTTCTGAGATTATTCGAAATTGTTGGTCAGTAAAAAGAAGTAAGGATTGAAACCTGACAAATCCAAACGTCCAGGACTTACTATAACTCACTTTTAGGACATCGAAAATAAGAAACTTGCAGAACTCTAACTGAAGTGTGAAAAACTACATGCAATAACTAATGTCTGAAATGAAAAACAGAATCATCTGTAAATTACAGTTGATTTTGCTCCCTCCTGAGCTGCAGGATCAACAGGATGTAGATGTTTAAAAGATGAGTAAATTACCAGTGCGCATTTTGTATCCACTAATTTGCAAACTTAAACTGAAATCCATGTATATGAGTTTCGATTTAAAATGTAACAAGTTATTTAAATCAAATTCCCCCTGGAGTGGTATATGCGTGAGATATTTGAAAAAAAACACGTCTTCTTTTTCAAGCTGAACATTTAAAGATGTATCAATTCAATCAAAATTTCAGGTATACTCACTTCTTTTGAAACATTTTCAAAAATATTGCACCCTTCTGTGTTAAGTACACAAATAGTTTGAGAAAAATGATGTCGTTCAAGAACTGATCCTTCTGAACTGTACAAAGCTGCTAGGACAGATTTTGACTGAACCTATAAGTTTAAAATTAAATAAAGTTTCATTTTAAAATTGACAAAAGTTGTTGCAACTATAGAAAAGTATGAAATAAATAAAAAGGTGAACTTTAATCTCAGATGGATGTGGTCATATGCCAGCGATAAAGTGATCGCTTACGAAACTTTTATTCTGCTCAGCACAAACAAATGGATTACACTATGAATTAAAACCAAATACATTGCTATTATCATGTTCCTTTAGGTTATGAGTGGAATATGAAGTTACAACAGAACATCTCCATTTCAACCTATCCCCTGTTGTCCTCTTTCGCTGGCTCCACGACTGATCATAATCCGGCATCTCATCCTCAAATGATCTCGCCCTCTGACCCACGCTTAACTCGTTATTTCTCATTCAGGTTACACTTGAGTGCATGACGTGCTAGACACATAGTTGTCTCCAAACCTTGAACATTCCATAAATGATGGTAAATAGTGGGGAATTAACGACAAGCACGTAAGGAGGGCATTTGCGCCGTCTAAAAGTATTCGCTTTAATTCAAGTTTTAACTTCTACTGTTTCCATGGTAATTATTATTATTATTATTGCATCCTTTAATCCCTAGAGGAACATCGGGCCTCAGCCGTGCGTCTCCATTGCGTTCGCTTCTCTGCTAGAGTCTTCACCTGACTCCAAGTCTGCCCACACGTTTTCATCTCCTCTTCACATGACATCCTCCAAGTCACCCTTGCACTGACGACCAACTCGCCGCTTCCCTTTCGGGTTCCACTCGAGCGATGGCTTGTCTATTGATGTCACTTGATGGTTTCCTCAGAGTATGGCCAATCCATCTCCATTTCTTCCTGCCTATTTGTTTCACAATCGGTTCCTGGTTGGTTGGTTCGCTCCCAGAGCTCTCTGTTGCTGATCTTTTCTGGCCGGCCATCTGATCTTGAGTATTGAGCGAAGATAACTGTTAATGAAGGTCTTTAGTTTGTTTGAGATGCTCTTTATGACGCGCCAAGATTCTGATCCATATAGTAGCACTGACTGACTTCACATTGGAGTTGAAAATCCGGATCTCATTTTTGATGCTGAATGTTGTTGCCCTCCATGGTTATCCTTGACACGAATATAAAACTAGTATTTCGTTACATGAGGATAGATTCAGAACGCATTTTTTGGATATATATTATATACATGCATGGATAGAGATATATGATTTAGGTAAATTGTAAGTGTTTAATATCCAGTTAATGAAAGTTCTCAAAAATACTTAATATAGGGTGGATTCCACTGTATGCGGTGACACAAATTGTGTATGAATGAATCCTACATATATATGGAAAACTGTTTACATTAAAATTCTAAATATTGCATCAGTGATTAATAACGTTGTCTCACCACTTCTTGATATAAATTGATGGATTTCTGGGACTAAATGGATTGTTTCTTTACTGAATGTATCACATGGTGAAAAAGCAAAATATATTGGATGACGCTTCGAGTACAACTCATCGTTTTTAACTATATGACTCTGAAACTCAAAATGTATAGTTTTATTTTATTCCTTTCCATTTGGTGTAGCTGAAATAGAGTTTGTCAGATGTCGAGAAGCAGGAATAAATGTGGAACTTTAACACTTAAGCTCACTTTGAAACAAAACGTGTCGGTTAAAGGATCCTGTGGAAGCCAATAAACATAATTTATTTTATCTAATATCTTGCAATGATTTAGAGGTCAAATATGTATGTCGCAGTAGTAGACTGGAGTCAGTTAGATGACAAAAGTTTAATCAAATCTAAGAAACTTGAAATAAGGCTAAGCTGTCTCATTACATATAGCGGGACAGAGTAACAGTATTAATACTTAATGTAACAAGATGCTGGAAGACATAGTTGGCAAAAGTTTTATTTATCGAATCAAACAGTAACGTGTGCAATTAGGAGTGGCTCAACGCCTATCCCAGATATCAGAAAAATTCTACTACCTCTGCGACGACTGGGAAGGAATAAAGAGAACTTTCAAAATCAAGTTCTGAGGTGGTGTAGTTACAGTTGATATGATCAGTATGCTAAATTGTGTTCAAAATGTTACCATCCAATAAATTTTGTTGTTTCACTTTGTTGTATATATATATATATATATATATATATCGAGTAAACAAACTAATATGGAATTGCACACTGTCACAGTGCCTAAATTTTGCACATACATGGACTATAAGCTGAAATACTTGGTTGAATAGTGTTAGGAAGGACAAACTATCATTGTTAGCCTTAAAGTCACGATTGATGAATTCAGTCAGACATTGGCCAGTGATTAGTGGTTTCAACTTCTGTTGATGTGTAAGCGATGCATACTGTTAACTACGTATAATAAAGTCGTTGTTGCAATTATCACAGTTAAATCGGACTTCTATTTTTATCTCAGTGTTGGGAATAATTTCAAGTGATCAGTTGTCTGGAGGTTAATTTTAGTCAAGATAGACAAAAACCAACAAATCATTAGCATTCCGTTATAACAAACAGATTTCTTGAAATTCTAAATTCTGCTGTACTTAACAAGAAAGAAAGTGCTCATCATTAGTTAAATCCAGACATTTTCTCCTTGGAATTGTCGTATCCATAGCAGAGAAATCTCGTGAATATACAAGATGTGGTCACTTATTTCTGAAAAGATTTTTCTTCGAATAAAACCTTTCGTTCATAGAACTTTGTAAGATTTCGTTCAGTTTGGTTACTGAACAAGTATTATTTCTCATATATTTTTATTTATGTTGTTACTAACTGACAATAACTTCAAACCTTTATTGTCAATTAAAATTGTAGATATAAACCTCTAAATTGTTGTTTAGCTTAGAAGTAACGTCACGAAAAATGATCTCCTTGGTGACTTATATGTTCATATTAGATGGTTGAAGGCAGTTGGCAGGAAACCATGCGCTTAGGTTTCCTGCTAGTAGACAGTCGTCAGCAACCTTGAAGGGACTCAGATCCATTTTGAGACTCGAACCCGCGTCACCCAGCGTTGCAGTCAGAGTGCCATCTAGCATGAAACCTAGGTACAAGGCTTCCTGCCGATTGCCTCTAACCATCTAATACCAACAGTTCACAGTGCACCGTGATGGCAAGCCACCTAGCATGGTGGCCACATTGCAAGCTTGACTGATAGAATTCAGTCTGCACCGAAGATAGGACTAGACACATTACACTAGTTACTGGCTGGTGTTCAATGAAAACTGTGCGCTCATAACTAATTAATGGTATGGGTGAAATACCCAAGCTTGATAATATCTGTGCCCTCATGAATCATAAGACATCAATATATACTCACATTCATTTCCAGAGTATTAGGGACAAAAGTATTGATTAGACAGTCATATATGCAAGCATCCTGCCAAGATCAGATAAAATGATTATTGTCTCAGACTTCAGAGATTGATCAATAGTGTCAATGCTATAAAAATATTTATATCCCAGTATTTTCAAAAAATGTGCTGAAGAGCGTTTTTCTCACCTGAAAACTGTTATTTGTTCCACGATGATCAATATCATGACATAATGATGCAACAAATAATGCTAAAATTTCAATATGCTCCAGTTGATTATTTGCTAAGGGTAAGTTTTTAATACAAACGTAAACAAAATGTGCAACAGAAAATGCATGCATCCAATTATGATATGCTGGATCTCGATAGCCACGATGAACCATCAAGATGAACTGAGCTAGTTTACGTCGTGAAATTCGCCAACGACTAATTAAATCCAGATCATGAAACATGCTTAATGTACACTAAAATAGAAAAAAGAATATAAAGGATGAAGTATGATTGTGATTAGTTTTCGTGTTGCAAGAAAAACTCGTCTTATATAGTGTAAATGTCATTTTTAAAGTATATCAATATATATTTATGATAACTGATGAAACAGGTTGAATGTGCGTCGGTGGCATAGCGGTTAAGACGATCGCCAACCACGCACATGGTCCAGGGTTCGATCCTTGGCCGACGCACTCCTTTACCTCGTTAAACCAGAAATAATGCTTCTGAAGAGGAAACGATGGGCATGAGGCTAGCAACCTCATCCTGTTTAATAAACACTGCTACAGAAACTTCAAGCCACTAGCTTGAAACCCCATGTTCCACTGGGGAACCTGAAGGAAAAAAATAAAATAAAACAGGTTGAAGTTAAGAACCTTATGTTCCCTAAAGAAACGCTTGAACTAAACTACCTTCTTTTTACTAGTTGATCACGGATTGATATCAGTTAGAGAACCATTGAAAACCAAGGAGTGCTGGACAGCTGTTTCATCTAGTTTCGGGAATCATCGACAGTACGCACCCACCACAGGGGGTTCGAACCCAGGACCTTCCGGTTATAAGGCAAGCTGGTATACCAAACTATAGAAAATTATTCTGATGCTCGCTAGTGACTTGTGACAGAACGGAGTTTCTTGGAGTTCTAGTGAGAATTCGTGACCAATGAGGTCCATCCAGGTGTCACATGTGAGGATGGATGTCCCACCAACGACATTGGTTGGGGTCGCGATAAATCACGAATCAGTAGAAGTTAGAATTCATGGGCTGGCCACTGGATCTAGTCCCAGTGACTGATTGGTATACGAGCTTGCCTTGTAACAAAAAGGTCCTGGGTTTGAACCCTAGAGGGTGTCTAATACCGATGTTTCCCAAACTAGGATCAAACAGCTGTCTAGTACTCCCTGGTTTTCAATGGTTCTCTAACTGATATCAATCCGTGATCAACTCGTAAAAGCAAAACTAACCCTTACAAACCAAACTAAAGAAAATTAAACTACCTTCAGCTATGACTGGTAACGTGGATCTTATCAGTATTAGGTAGGACAGTAGATGATATTAGGCCCTGTGATATGTCTGGTATAAAAACACTGTGACAGAATCCAGAGTTATCATTAAGTAGGCATACAATGAGAATAGTTACTTACAGACATAAGAGATCATTCGTCAGCTAATTACGTATAAATTCGATCTAATGGAGATCTAAAATTTTACAGTTTTGATCACAAGTTGACACTATTTAGAGAATCACTTGTGGATGCATTCCAAATCAGGATAAAACATCTGTCCAGTACTCACTGGTTTTCCAGTCGTTTTATAACTCTTGTCAGCTCCTGGTCACACCTGTAACCAGTCAAATATCTTCAGATCGATACATGAAAATCTAACGTTTTTCTTGAGCGAATTTAAGAAGAAATTTAAAATGAAACATGGGAAGCAAGTTAATTTCAGAGCTGACGACTTTATTCAATGTAACAGTTGACATGCAGTTTGACTTGCAATTCTTTCGCTTTTTGTAGAATACTTCTGAATGACTTGTAACTGTGCCTTACAGCCTAACACACATGCGTTCACAGAACAGTTTTTCTGCTTTTTGAGAAAATGGTGTCGGTCACACGTATAATGTTAATTATTACTGACGAAAGCCTTGTTTAGCTGTCGACCATCTGTGTTTAGACGACCACTACCACACATGAATATTTTCTGATGTTTTTATTTATTATATTTTGTAGATAAACACACTTAGTTGTGCGTAGGAAATCATGGGAATTGGTGTCAATATTTACTCAGACCACCCAATGATGAATGATAAGACAGTTTGACAGTAGAATTTATCAAACTACTTCCATATGTCGAAGAACGGTGAAAAAATAGTGTTAGCAGAAAAAAAACCAGCAGAAACATGCATAGATAATTTTTTCACAGTAGAGTTTATGATTTGCAATCATCAACAAAAACACGTCTGTTCATTTAGCACTAGAAATAATTATAATAGGTGAATTATTTTGATACAAATTTTAATGACAAATGGGCGTTAATCTGATTCAAATGAAACGTGATTAGCAGTTCGACTGTATAGTTTAGTCAAATAATCACTAAATTGCATAGAGGATTTCACATGAGCTGACATCAGTTAGAGAACCATTGGAAAACCTGGGAGTACTGGACAGCTGTTTCGTCCTAGTTTGGGACTCCTCATCAGTACGCACCCACAGGGTTTCGAACCCAGGACCTTCTGGTTACAAGGATAGCGAGCTCGTAGACCATTGAGCCACTGGGACCCAATCCAATGGCTAGTCAGTGAATTCTAACTTCTGCCAATTCACGACATAGCGCGACCATTTCGCAATGTCTTCTTCGATGAGTCACTGCCTTCAACCTGCTGTACCCTACTGGTCACGGCTTCCTAAATTGTTGATTTGGGATTAAAATAGCTTAGCTATTTTTACTGTTACAGGAGATTTCTTTATCTGAAGTCATTTTCTCTGTTCGACATCATTTTTGGTTCGCAGAGATTTCAGCTAATTAAAGTTACATTGCTAAGCGACAACAGTTAGACTGTTTAAGTAGCTAGATTCCAATTTACTTGCCGAGAGATTAACAGGTCGAACTAGTTACCTGAAGGTCCTAAATTCAGTCCTCAGATAGGCAGTTTGTGCGGACTGCCGAAGAGTCCCAAGCAGTGACAAAACAACTGAGCAGTAATACTAGATTTTCGGTAATTTTCAAGCGGTTGAAAATCTTCAACGAAACTAAATAACTTCTCAGACAAATTGTCCCCTTAATGAACTCCAGAAAGAAAAACAAGAAGACGTAATTTATCTGAATCGTGTAGTGTATTTGATCAACACATTTCGAACAATCACGTCACGCATATACTTGTCATAGAAATGTATGTGAAAATAAAAATGCTTTCAGGGCTCGAAGAATAGATATAGGTCAAGATAAAAGTCTTTATTGAAGGTCAAAATGTTAATGGAGATCAGTAAATCAGTGATGGGAGATAATAGTGCCTCTGCCCTAGTATCAAAACAAAGCTTACCAAGGAAGGTTTAGGCTGATGATGAATGGTGATCTAAACTTCCTAATTACTGGGGTTCCATCAAACCTTGGAATATATTTAAATCACGTCTTATGGATAGGTTTAAATGAGGTGACCAAAATAAATCTGATTTCCTGTCTCCATATCATGTTTCACAATAGAAGAGCTAGAACGTCTGCTTCCACCATTAATGGGTTCAGGGAATTTGCATTGCCTCTGAAGCCTTTACTTTATGTGTGAACACACATCCATTTAAATGGGTAGATACAGTGGAATATAACATTAGTCTTAGTGTTCTGAAAACATAATATCTTCCTGTGAACTTTTCTGGACAATTATTATCACAACCACGATTTCAGTTAATTTTCTCTCTACATCTTCAAGGATATCCTCGGTGCATATTCCTTGAATCTTAATAAAGAGGCATCTCACCAAGGCTCTTTTAATTCCGTTTTTCTTACCCAGTGTATTCGAAATACATTTAGGTGAAAGAGAGAGCTATTGGCTTACAATAATTTTTCTCTCCTAAAAGCCTTACCTGTAAAGCTGACTGTTTGCATCACTCTAGTGGGTTTGCGTTACTAAATAAAATAATTCAGGGATTGTAAAGTGTGCTTTTATTTGTGCATATTTTAACCTTAGAAAGAAGAGAACACAATGTTCAACGAAGATATCTTTTCAGCGATTTCATTTTCAAAAGCTGTACAATCGCATTTAAATACATAAATTTACATAGATACATTTTATTTTACTTGATTCCACATAACTACGAAGGCGAATAAAAGCTGACAATTATTTTCAACTTGATATGGATTTCGAGAGGCTTAGAAACAAAATATCCACGGGATTATAACGAATTACAAGTGTGTAGAAAACGAGCATAGAAACAAATTGAAATAATAATTTTCAGCTTGAGATGGAAGTTAGGAGGTGTGAATATAGATTACAAAAATATATAATATATAGCTTACAAAGTCAACAGAAACTTACCAAAAGCAGTGTGTTTCCAACTTCTCTGTACTGCAGAAGCCCTGGCAATAAGCATCGAAAAGCCGGAGCTGTGTGTTCAAAAGAAATTAGTCCAACCTCTACAAATACCGTGGACCTAGTGAGGTGTTTTCCTTTAGCCTCCATTTTATTTTTATTTTTTCCGTTCGCTGTGTGTGGGATTCTTCTCTCTTCGTCTTCATTCATTTCATCCCCTTTTTCAGTTATAAGGGCAATTATTTTAAGTTTTTTTCCATGCTTACTCCGTTCACATCTATAATTTGTTTTAAAATAACTATTTTACAATTATATCCTAATCCTGTGTAATTTTTGTTTAGAAGGCTCTTGAAATCTATATTCACACCTCCTAACTTCCATCTCAAGCTGAAAATTATTATTTGAATTTGTTTCTATGCTCGTTTTCTGCACACTTGTAATTCGTTTCTAAGCCTCTCGTAATCCATATCAAGTTGAAAATAATTGTCACCTTTTATTCGCCTTCGTAGTTATGTGGAATCAAGTAAAATAAAATGTATCTATGTAAATTTATGTATTTAAATGCGATTGTACAGCTTTTGAAAATGAAATCACCGAAAAGATATCTTTGTTGAACTTCGTGTTCTCTTCTTTCTAATGTTCTTAAGGTTATTTCAATCTTCTCAAAATCCACAGAATTATCTAAGTGAGCGTCCTTTGAGAATATAACATTCAGCTTTAATTTTCTAAAGCGCTTAAAATGGGCAACATGAATGATTTTAAGTTAGAAGCATTTTGATTAAAGAAAATGCTTAAATGCATTGATAATGTCTTCTGAATTTGATTATTGTATATTACTGTGATAATGTCATTTACTGGGTGGCCATAAGGATTAAAATGTCACCGTGTTTATGATTAGAATGCACAAAGGTGTATAAAATGAATATATTTCCATTGCATTCAGAATTAATTATCATAATTTGCTCTGTTAATGAAGCTTTAGAACAGCATCTCTTGAAAAGTACTTATATAAAAAAGCAAGATAATTCATTCAATAAAAAAATTTCAACAGCCTACTTTAGACTTTCTCGAGGGTGAAATTCTATTAAATAAATGTACTTGAAAGCAAAGAAGAAGAAACGCTTTTAAACAACCTCAAGAGATTACTTTATACACATGCTGGGTAAGTGCAAACGAGAATTTATTAAATTTTTTTCCACAATCATTGTTAAATATTAACGCTATTAAGTTGCATGTTTAATGCTGTCATTGTTAAACAATTTTGTGTCACTTTACTAATGAATTCACCGTGTGTCAGGGAAAGTCATCCACTTCATCGCTTACTGAGGCTGGTTTCCCTCAAGACTCTGTCATTTCTTCTTTTCTGTTTTCTTTCTTCTTGCATGACTTGCCTCACTCTGATGAAATGAACTTTGTTAAGTATGTGGACGATCTAACTATTTCAGTGTCTATTAAATCCCAACTAGACTGTACTACGATGGACAGCTTTCTGTCAGAAGTTAGCAAATGGTCTTCGTCTAATGGCCTTAAACTAAATCCCTCCAAATGTCAGACTGTTAATTTCAGTTTCCGATATAAACGAAAGTTAAATGAAGCTGTTGGTTCCTACGACCATTGCAAAGTTGATGATAGCGATATAGAAATCAAGTTTGAAGTTAAGTATCTTGGATTAATTCTTTCTTCTCACCTGTCCTGGTCTCCCCATGTCTTATCGATTTCTAAAAGAATATTTCGTCTGACGTTTTACATTGAGAAGTTAAGCCACTCAGGCATAACCCAACCCCTCCTCCTGTTACAGTTTGTCAACTCGTGCATCTTATCTATTCTTTTTGACTGTTCACCCTTATTCTTTCATGGATTGCTTAAAAAAGACAATGTCATACTTCGTAGAACTCTGAAGACTGTCAGTAGGACGAGTGGTATCCCATTGGACCATATCGTTGACATCGTCATTGGCAGGCACTTGATGTCTTGCAACAAATTTGCTAAAGGAATTTTGTCAGACTGTGAGCATCCACTTTACCCGCAGCTCCAAACTTGTGTCTCCGCAGGCAAGACAAGAAGTCTTTTCAGAAGATTTTATGCACGTACGTCTAAGTATAAAAAATCCACTATACCATATTTGGTACGTACTTAATGTGATGAAAATAGTGTTAGACATGAACTAACTAACCTTCTTTGCACTACTAAATAAACCATTTCCTCCACCCTTACAACATCAACCTTTATTGTTATTCTTCTTCTTATATTTATAATCCTCTCAAGTTTTTTTTAATTTGTTTATTTTTTCATAAGTGTGAACATCATTTAAGCTGTGTTATAACTGTTAATTTTGTATTTCCCTTCACCTTACTATATTAGCAGAACATTAGATTCAATAATCTATTACATGCTAAGATTCCCGAACTGAATTGACAATACTGTTTGAAATAAACTCACTGTTATTATTATTATATTTATTATCCTCAATTCGTGCTTCGAATATTTTTGACTTTATACCGTAAATGTGGACAATTCCTCTGGTTAATTTTGTCTTAATTTTTTGTTTTATTTATATTTTAAGTAAATCAGATGCAATATTGTGAAAAATGCTGAGAATTCCATTCTGTATTTTGAGTACTGTTTTTGGAATAAAGTAGACTATTATTATAATCATGATAATAAGTATAAGAGAACTGATGTCTCCGCTGAAATCTGATTCCGCGTTGTCTAGTGTTTAAGTCAGAGACATCACCAACTGAAGTTATTTACAAATTTGCGTCTGTTTTGTAACTGATGAATACTGAGTCACAGTTTGACTGAAGAAAAAATGTAAACTTACAAGTAATGTTTCATCTTCTGGTTGTATATTTCGAGGTAGAGAGTCGAAAGCACTTGTGTTAGGTAGAAATGCATTTATATCTTTGATTTCACATGTAGATAACCAATCCCGTTTGCCTTCCTCTACCTAAATACGAAAAGTTGTAAAGAAAAAGTGATATTAACCTTCATTATGGTATAAAATTTTACTACATTTGTCTGAAAGCTTAATCAGTTGAGCATAACCTTGTCTTCTACTTAGTATACCTGAGATACATGACTATAAGTATTTGCATGTCCATCTGCCAACATACATTTGTAGCTTAATGTTAAGCGGTAATTCCCAGATGTCTATGGTGTAGAGTTTCACCACTGTATTAGTTTTATTCTGGACTATCACTCATTATACAAATACACATAAACTGTTATCTTTAGTGTTAGGAGAAAGCATTCGTGTGCATTACTACACATCAACTATTCTTAAGACCATTATTTGAAATTCGCTAATGAAATAACATTACATGTTCGTAGTGTATTACATGATGACTGGTGATACAGTTATCAACTTGAGATTCCATATAAAAACACAAAATTGACAATCTTTTGAATATTAAGTTGCAGCGAAGAGAATCTTTTTTTCGACAAAGTCATCAACTAGACTGTAAATTAGTGTATTTACAGTAAATGTGTTAATATATGTGTAAAACTTGGACACTGTGGAAGTATTTGATTCAGTTTTAGATTTTCACGTCGATTGATGGGACTGAAGTGTTCGGTCTCAGGTTGACATGTCGGTTTCTTGTGCAGAAGCTTCGACAATGTCTGGGCAGGTAATTAGGAGTTAATTGGTGGATGGTGACTAGCAGTGGAATCCACCAGGATGGGCATTTTGTCCTATTCGGGACTCGCCATCTGGATGTGCCTGCATTCTCCAGTGAGTGATGATATTCCCATTGAAGGAGAAAATCTAAAATTGAATTAAATAATTAATATAACCCGCTGCACAAGAGGTGGCTCTGGTGGCCCAAGTAGTCTAGTGGATAGCGCTTTAGCATTTGAAACTACAGGCACATCCAGATGACGAGTCCCAAATAGGACGAAATGCGCATCCTGGATTCCACTGCTAGTCACCATCCACCAGTTAACTGTGGAAGTATGTAATTCCATATTAATTTGTTTGTTAGATATACCACACAGTGAAACAGTATTATTTATTGGATGACGTTTCGAACACAATTTATTGTTCATAATCATATCAATTATAATCACACAACTTCGAAACTTTCGTTTTATAGTTTTCTTTATGGTAAATGTGTGAGAAAGTTCCAGAAATATTTCTGGTCAAAGTTAACTTAATAAAATTACAAAGTGTGATAATCTGGAAGATCAGGTAGAAAAGGCATAATAGATCATAATAACTGAAAAAATTGACTGTTTGTGCAATTACGAATCAAGGATGTAGTAAAAAGAAAAAAGGTAGGAAGTTTAGATCAAAAACATGGTAATGCAGGTAGAAATAAAAAGGCCGTAAAAATAACAGAAATAAACAGGAAGATTGAATCGTAAAGGCAATAGGATAATCATCATTGAGAGGACTGACTATTTATGATGGCCATGGTAGAGAAAACGGTTGGATGTATTTCTTTTGAATGCATAGATTGAGCTTGGACTTTGAGATTACTGGCGCCTCAGCTATTTCCAGGTATCTTGATTTCACCTCCTTTGATAGGTTTGATCGGATCTTGAATATGACTTTGAAAGACCTTTCAAATGGAGCTGAATATCCTTATTGCACCAGGTGTCATGTTCCTAGTAACATATCATCTTCCTGTTTATTACACTTTGTAATTTTTATTAATTTAACCTTCGACCGGAAATAATTCTGGAACTTCCTCACACATTTACTATAAATACACGAATGTACAGCCTAGTTGATGACTTCGTCTAAAAGAAAGGTTTCTTTGCTGAGACCGCCTCTGGAATAATAAGTTCTTCCATATTCATCTCATAGACTGTTTTCAACTTTTAAATTTATGAATATTTCAGATTTAATAAACCAGATTCAATAAATCGGATTCAACCACGTTGACTATGCCAAACATTTTGATAAACTGAAAAATTTAACCTGTGGAAAAACTTCACAGACTGGACCTAGCCTAGTGTAATGATAAATCCTTTGTTTAGTGAGGTCCCCATTAACCCCATAGTATGGCCGAAAGTATGTCTTCCTCTCGAAATAATCCCATGCTGCTACGCGTACATAGTCTCTGCGAGGTAAGTTCTTCTCATCGCCTTCACAAGGCATGGGGTGTTCCCCACGAAAGTCAAAGGGTGAATGCGAATGTCTGGTGTTTTTACAAACGGACTGCTGAACATGCAGGACTGCTAAGATGGCTGGAAAACGCTGACTCTAAACTTATGGTGTACATCAACTCCAGATCCGAAAGGACCGAATGGTGTGCGTACCTGTTTCTGTCACTGGAAACAATGGGAACGTAGCCCTTGAAGTTCTTCCAATGCTTTGTGGATCAAACTTCAAGCCAAAGGCTCGGTAGGGGGGTTTGGCTGCTTAGGACAACCACTTGTTTGGTATAGGTACATGAACAGTATCCCAGTCCTCTCACAGTATATGAGATTTAGAGTGACTCATCTGTAGCTGCCCATGATGTACAAAGTTTGTGTTTTAATAATAATAATAACAACAGAAACTGTAATTAGCAACTAAGTACATAATCAGGAGATACAGTCACAATTTAGTGATTATTCTACACGTTATTAGAGTAAATACTTCTACTATTCTTACCTTCATATGGTACATCATTAATTCATTTGCCAGTTTGGTACGATGTTGAGCATCTTGTACATGTTTGTACATTAATGACTGAAGGAAAAAGAAGAATACTGTGAGTTTCGGAGTATGTATGAATGTGATAATGAATGCATAAAGCAGACTTGCACATACATAAATACATACATACATTCCAATAACTCACAAAAGGAATTGCATACAAACACTATTCAAGAGGGCCAGGACTCATTGCAGCAATCCCACTTTAAGGAAAATTGGAGAAAGATATCTCATGGACGTCTTCCAAAAGAATGGATATCCACGAAATTTCATCAAAAGACATATACCTCCAAGCCAACCTATCAAACCAAAAGCCCCCAAGGAAAGCACAAAGAAAATCGCCCTGCCATATATAAAGGATATATCAGAAATCACTACAAGACTCGTCAAACCTTTAGGAAGTGACGTCGCACACAAACCAACAAAGTCGCTTCACTCAGTTCTATGTCAACCAAAAGACTCCACAACAAAAGAGGATAAAGTCAACATCATCGACAAAATAAATTGTAACAACTGCGAAAAACACTACATTGGTCAAAGTGGACGTCCCCTTCTTCTTCGTATCCACGAGCATAAGCTAGCTGTCAAAAGACATCACATACACTCCCTCATATCATTACATACACACAACCATGGAAATCAATTCGATTGGGACAATGTTCAAATATTAAACAGTAGAAACACCAAGAATGCTAGAGAAATTTTAGAAGCTTGGCATTCAAGTGAATCATCAATCAATAGACACATCGAGATTGACAAAATTTATCAACCGATAAGAAAGAAACCTCACACACAGAGGGTCAAAGTTCAAGTCAAAGAAACAATCAATTCCAATACAAGTAGCCTAGAAGGTGTGAAAGCACACAAAAACAACCAATCACGTCCTAGGTCACCGAGGAGAGATGATTAATAAACTCGTGGAGAAATCTAAAAGCTCACTTCAAACTGAAGTATGTGCTGAAGATGTCACCTAGTAGGGTGATGAAAGCTTCGCAAATTAACTATCAAGCTCAGAAAACACAACCGCATCAAAATACAGTGTTATAAAATTTACTTACATGTACAATACTAATACAGCAGTATATTGAAAATGTTTTCGCCACATCTTCATCAGCTTTAGTGAAAAATGGATGATTGATTTTATTGCATAACTGGGCAACTCCAACAATACCATCTTTTTCATTTTTAATCGGAAAGCATAAGATGTTTCTACAATAAATAGATTTGTAAGCAAGCATTAAAGATAAATATGAGTAAATTACTCAAAAAAAGAAGAAGCAAAAAAGGCATGTAGTATAAATTGTCGTCAGCTTAATCAGATGAATGAACATTATTTTCCTGTTTGCTAAACAGTAAGTAGCATATATTTGCATATTAATTAATTGCACAGATGAGCATGGATAAGTTAATTTTCTAGAGCACTGTTGAAACTAACCATATTTATGAAAGCCCATTACGTTTTTTACTTATGCAAAGATGTCTCTTGCTAAATAAGCTCTCGATGACACAAACTGAGTCCTGGGTCACTACTTCTCTAACAGAATGCAGTACACCGTATACAAAGGTAAATCCTCCTCTGCTGTGCTCACTGAAGCTGGTGTCCTCCAAGGTGCTGTACTCTCCTCACTTCTCTTTTCTTTCTTTTTACATGACTTGTCATCTTCAAATGACATTAATTTTGTCAAATATGCTGACAGCCTGACTGTATCTTTGCCTGTCAAATGTCAAAGTGACTGCTCCAAACTAAATGGCTTTCTATAAGAAATCAGCCAGTGGTCCAAGGAAAACGGTCTTACCTTAAACCCCTCCAAATGCCAAACAGTCAATTTCACGTTTAGGCATAAATCTGACCTAAACAAACTGGTTAGCTTCCACGAGGTGTGCAACATAGATGGCACTGAAATAGAAACCAAGTCGGAAATTAAATACCTAGGCGTCATTCTATCTGCTGATCTCTCCTGGTCGTCTCATATCTTGACGATTTCTAAGAAAATATTCCGTCTTACCTTCAACATCAAGAAGTTAAGACATTCTGGTATAACCCAACCCTTACTCCTACAATTCGTCAATTCTCGCATTCTGCCTATTATTCTCTATTGTTCCCCCTTAGTTTTTCCCGGGCTACTGAAGAAAGACTATAACATATTACGCAGGATGTTAAAGGTTGTCAGCAGGGTAAGCAACGTGCCACTTAACCAGCTTGCTAATATTCTGGTCGACAGGCACATGGACTCATGTGAAAAATGGGCCAAATCCATTTTATCTAACTCACACCACCCTCTTCATTCACAACTCTCCCCTTGCATCTCATCAGGCAAAACCAGAAGCCTATATAGAAAAGTATATGCTCGCACCAGCAAGAACAAAAACTCAACCATTCTCTACTTAGCTCGTGTTCTGTGCGATAAAGAAAGCATTAGGCGTGATACCTATAATATAATAGTAGTAGAACAACTGGATATCGTCTTTCCAACTCATATCATTTATAGGTACAACATTTTCTTTCTTTCCTTTCCTTTTCTCTCTCTCTTTTTTCCGTTATGTGCTGCTTTGTTTCTTTCTCTCGCTTACGCCAGTAAATATGACAGCACCTACTTTTCTAACACCTTCAAACACTGTTCAGCTTTGCCTTTGCTACCGACATGCCAATATGTTGTTGTAATAATGAACTGAGATTTCCTTAATCTATGTAGAATTCTATTTATTGATAATGTACTAACTGTATGCAATACTGTAGTAAAAATGCTGAGAATTCCATTCTGTATCACAAGTACTGTTTTGGAATAAAGCAAATTATTATTATTAAAAATAAACACCACTGCCAGCGAAACTTTGAAGTTCTAGCTTGAAGCACTATGTTCCACTGGGAACGTAAAGGGATTAAGAAAACAACGACACTGGAATCTTATCTATGTACTGTATGCCTAGCTTTTGAATGATTCAAGTACATTTTTCTCTACACACTTCACACTAAATCTAAATAGTTTCGTTGTATTTTATTTTGACAGCATTCAGTTTTTTTTAAAAGTGTTTTGATTTGCAAAGTACTCTTACAAGAAGAATCTTGAAGGAAATCTTGAAGTGTTTTTTGTGGTTTATATTCATTTTCTTGGCCAATGAATACCATTATTGTTGATGCTTCCATCTAGGTTCTTTTTGAAATAATGCACAAATTATTTGTTTTGTAGAAGTTAGCATACTTCACTCGCCTGCTCCCTCCTATCTTTTTTCTTTCATTCACGTGACGTTTTAAACAAAAGTGAAGTTGTTTTATCGATTTGCTCATTTGAAAAGTTTGCTGGAAGATGGCATTGTGAAAGGACTAATGGATAAACTTGATGAGCTTAATGTATTTACTTTCAAACGTAACAAGGTTTATGAAACAGCCATGAAAGTGTAGGCTGATGTTGACACTATGGATGGCAACTGAATAGGGGTCGATTCCATATTCTAACCAGCAACTATCTGACTGTGAATCCGGATATTACCAAAAGTAATGTGTACGCTGTTTTATTCGGTGACTGAAGGCAACATATGCCATTTTGTGTGTAACTTGTATTCTTAGTTGCATTCCGGTGTATAACCATATGGCGTAAAAAGCAAAATTCTGAGAGGTTCTCTAAAAAACTGATTACAGACTTGTTTCAGTGCTGTGACGGGATAAGTGATTGGAAAATGCACCCTCCCCCCTCACTAAACAATCTGTTTACAATACTGTTGCTTATTTGGATACATTTAACTAACTGTGCAATTAGTACACTTTCCTCCTCTATGTCACATCTTCCTTTGATTTCATCCTTATTATCGGTCTTTGTTTGTGGTTGATTCCTATTTTTAACGTTCCACTTAACTATTGGGTGATAGTAGACTGTTGATGGTAATGTGTTCTTTTACGACTGAGATTTGGTTTGAATGAATTCAAGGTTATACTTTGAGGATTGCGACTGTGGACTGTCAGCGGGAATTGTTTGGTGAGTTTATTCTTAGCCAGTGGGGTTTTTTTCATCCTACCTTATTAGAAATATACTGTTTGATTTTTCAGGCACTTCTTACGGTTGGTTTTTAGTTAACTAATTTTGATGTTTTGCACTTGGGTAATTCTTGGACGGTATAGCTGCCTATCGGCATTGTTGAGGTTATTTTGTGTTTTCGATGTTTTTATTGTTGTTTAATAGTACCACAGATTTTATAGCACATAACTGTCTTTGGCGACGAAATCTCAGCACGGATCCAAAAAGCTCGAGCTGCTTTCGCTAACTTACACCATCTCTGGCGTAGGCGTGACATCCGGCTATCAAGCGAGGGACGTGTGTACTGCTCAGCAGTTCGCTCTGTCCTTCTCTATGGCTCTGAAACATGGCCAATACGAGTTGAAGACTGTTTTTCATCATAGATGTCTACGATCTCTTTCTCACCTTAGGTGGTATAATAAGGTAAGTAATGTTGACGTTAGGCATAGAGTGTTGGACAAAGAGGGAAAATCAATCGAAGAGGCTATAAAGTTACATAGATTGAGATGGCTAGGTCACGTGCTGCGCATGCCTAACCATCGCCTCCCACGACGGACGGGCATTACTAGCTGATATAGGTGCAGGTTGGAAAAGAGTAAGTGGTGGCCAAACAAAAACATGGCATCAATCCATGAAATCCTTGACAGTTAAACTGAGTCAGGTAGGGAGATGCAGACTTCCGGATTGGGGCCCTCGGAACTCTAAGAATCAATGGCTGGAGACAATAGGTGACATGGCTCAAAATCGTTGTCAATGGCGCAGATGTATTCAGTCTCTTTAACTTTTCATATTCCTTTCTACCATTACTCATTCTTTTTCACTCTTATACTTGTCAAAACTCTATTGATTCTCTTCACTCATCTTCTTGTCTACCTTTGTGTGCTATTTGGAACGTGGCAACTCGAACTGCTGCACTTCGGTGCGAAGTTCTATGTTGAATCCAGACAGACAGACAGACTGTTTTTTAGTAATGTCAAGAAATGTTGGGACTGTAAGTCACTCGAGGAAGTTTGGTTGGTTATACAGAACTCATCGATCGTTATTATTGATTAACAAAGAAAAATAGTTGGCGTTATACTAACCGTGTACGAAATCCGGTCTCTTCATCCACTCCCCGATAGAACAAAGGATGTGCATAAGCATCTTTAATATTGAGGAGTTCACCTGAAAAAGAATGAATACAGTGAGAAAACTATTGAGAATGTATTGACGGGAAAAAATAAGATGTACTCCTCTCACTACACTTGCTTTGTTATAAAGACACGACTGAAAAAGATAACCAGGATGGTAATACCCTTTGCTAACTATTAGAGGGTATTATGACCTGAATACGTATTTCTCACACAGATAAATTATTATAATTAAAGACGTGTATTGGTTTCCTGAGAATACTATTTCCTTTCACAATACTTTTCTATCTCAGCCCAATAAATGTACTTTTTAGTGTACTTCTCAAAGTCTGAGTGCTTCCAAGTACTTTGGTATTCTATAAAACCGACAAGTGTATGTTAATATAAATTTTTTTAAAATTTATTCAAACCTTAATCGTTCATTATGCCAGTCAGTATAATATTTAGTCTGCCAGTGGACGTGAAATTTACCCATTTTTATATATAGAGGTTGAATGCTTTCCTTTGTCTGTACACACACACACACATGTCACTAATATTTAGACATATATCCATTATTGAGTTTGATAGCCGGGATTAGGTACATATGCACTTCTTTATCTGTAAATCAGCTAGTTTATATATATTTATGAAGCAGGCTAAGTCAATGGACAGCATTATTTGCAATTTTCTGGAGTATTATGAGTTTTTTTTTGTAATAGAGCTTTGGTTAGTGTACGCCCAGTTTTTGACCTAATTATAGTTAAATGATATAGTAAAACACTAATACATGATAGACAGAACTAACAGATTTAATCTTACGAAATAAAAAGACAGGATGGGTTTGACAGAATTTATGCATCAAATGGAAGCTTATAAGTAACCCAATAAATAGTATGCAACTTCAGCTGAAAGTGAATAATAAGGATCACCTAATTCTAAGCCCTCATAAGTTTCACTAGAAAGTATACTTAATAAAGATGTTCATACTGCCCAAAATGACAATGGTTAACGTAGATCTTATCTTATTTGAAAATCATATATAAGAAAAATAGGAGAGTCATTACCAATGTTACATTTTAAAAGCTGTGGTTTTGTCATGTTTACATATGACCCTCCTAATTTATCTTAGTTAAATTGCATTTATTACATATATGTATATTATATACTCATTCATAGCTGCGAGATATGACTACTGAAAGAGGAAGATATGAAAAGGCTGATTATCTTTGCTCATATTTGTCTGCATTACACCTCCCATGTTAGGTGGTATAGTATGGTGAGCAGTGTTGAGGTTGAGCGTAGAGTGTTGGGTGAGGAGGGTAAGACAATCGGTGCGGTTTTGAATGTAATGGCTAGGATAAGTGTTGTACCTGCCAAGTCACTGCCCACCTCGACCAACAGTGTTAACCAACATAGGGTTGGAATGCGAAAGAGCTAAGGGTGGTAAAATCAAACCTGAAACCAATCCACGACGCCTTTTATAGTTAGTTTCGGCCGTGTAGGGATGTATTGTGTAGCTGGTTGGGGTCTTTTAGATGTTTAAACTAGTGTCTGAAGATAATTTGTGATATGGTTCAAAATTTTTCTCAGTGGAGTAGATGCATTCACTCTCTATGATCCTCATATCCAATAAACCGTCCTCTTTTTCTAGGTTTCTCTTATTTTCCCTCACGTTTCTACATTTTTATTATTATTTTTTGGAAACTAATATTTCCTCTTGTTTGTCTAAATGAAGTTTGGTAGCTTGAACGGGTGCACTGTTGATCAAAATTCTGCTCTAAAACTCATTCACTCATTATAATTTATGTATTTATGCAATTTATATACACTAGGGATTTGATGAATGTGGCTATTCTATTTGTATATTCAAGTGTTTTAGTTGGACCAGATTCAACGGAAGCTGAATGTCACCAGTCAGGTAAGTTGAGGTACACTTTTGCATCCCTAAGGGATGTTGCGTAATAGGGACCAACAGATCACCTTGAATTTCATTGTTTTAATGTACACGAAAATGACTATTGATTAAACCCAGAATTTTTAAATCAGACTACATGGTGATTTATGATTCACCAATAAATTATTGTTCTATCCATAACCAAAGAAATTTATTTATGAAACGTCTATGGAAGCCATAAAACATAAGACAAAAGGACCTCGTTTTTGTGTCTGATTATCATATACTGAGACGCAGAGACTACACAACTTGAAGAGCACCAAAATATGTTCAATAATATCAACGGATTGTGAAGTGTTCTCAAGCAAACTTCTAGATTGTCAGATATTAAGGCAGATGGCTTTCAACGCATATATATTCAGTAAACATGTTAAATATCAAAGTCTAGGTTTCCTGTTTTCTCAGTCAGAGGTATAATATCACGGTCCTGAAGAACAACTGCCTTATATTTGTCATCAAAAACGACACTGAATGAAGCCAGTCGATAGACTGCAAAATTTATATTTATGACTTAAGGGTGAGTACTTGAATCAGTAAGTAGCAAACAATACTATGTGTTAGAAACACTGAAACCCTTAGGAAGTATTTTAACCACTGTACAACACTCATATACAAAAAAGCAACAACATATTTACTAAGACAAAATCTACCTACCAGTTGTAGCAACATATCCAGCAATACCTTGATTTAAACTCAATCGAATTTCTTCTGGCAACTAAAGTAAATTTGAGAACAAAAAGGGAAAGTAGAGAAATTGAAAAAAACATTGGGATAACCAAATAGTCTGATGCTGACTACTGAATGACTATGAGATGAAGTTGCTTGGAGTTCTAGTGAGACTCTGTTACCAGTGGGATCCACTAGGTGGGATTTGATGATACATAATCACCCATCACATTGGCTGGCTGTTTTTTTATTCCTTTACGTTCTCAGTGGAACATAGGGCTTCAAACTAGAGACTTGAAGTTTCTATAGCAGTGGTGTTTATTTTTACGGGATGAAGTTGCTAGCCTCATGCCAAACCTTCCCTCTTTACTAGTCTTATTACTGGCTTAACGAGGTGAAGGAGTGCATCGGCCGGTGATCGAACCCTGGACCACGTGAGACGTGGTCGGCGAGAACTCTACCGCTGTGCTACCGGAGCATTGGCTGGCTGTGACAGAAGTTATTATTCATGGGCCATTGGATTTCGTTCTAGTGGCTGAATAGTCAACGAGCTCCCCGTTTAACCTGAAGGTCATGTGTGGATGAGACTAAAGAGTCCAGAAGTAAGTTCAAACAGCTGTCCAGTACTCCCTGATTTCCAATGGCTCTCTAACTGATGTCAAACTAATCAAATCCCTTTAAACTTAAACTTGAAAAATAATGACACTGACTAAATGTTCAAGAAACAGACTATAAATTTGTATTAGTAATTTTCTTTTCTAAATATAATGAAGCACAAAAAGAATTAAAGTTCGGAATACTTATAAGCGAAACCTAAGACTCGATTATTTAACATATATAAGAAAGGTAGATAGTAACCTTGAAGGTAAACATAACAATTTGAAAAACTGTCTGCTGCTCCTTAAGTCTTAATACTTCGTTTGCAGAAGTTTCCTCTCATCTTGACAGAAGATATAACAAATTTTTTCGTAAAGCTTAAAATGATGTGAATTAGTAATACCACTCAACAGTATTGATTAATTCTTTGAAATTTTTAGAATATTGATCATTGTATAACACAAGGTATTATACATCAAAATAGCTTCGCCTAGAAATAGCTAACTAGAAGTGTTGTATGAGTATTACTTTGGTAAATTAAACCAGGCAAGCCTTGTATTGATTTGAAAGTTCTGATTGGAATTAAACTGATATTTAGAAAATATTACTGGTTTACACAAGTTAAAATCTGTTACAATAAAAGTTACATGTAATCTCTTTATGATAAAGACAAAATTGGCTTTTTATCACGTACCATAACCACTTTGCCCTCTGCTGTGGTAAACGTTGTCTGTAGAAAGAAACGGTAAAATGGTATTATAAAATAAGTGAGGAAATCTATGACTAGCAATGTTTCTACGTGGATTATTAGAAACAAACGTTTTTTTCTCTGGTACTGAAGTTTGCATTTATTTCTGGTGGTCGAGTCATAACAGTTTCATAATAACGTATCATCTAAGGGTGTAAGACTTATGGTCATTTATACAAACACTCTAGCTAGGTGTTTGGCCCACTATATTAGAAATTCTTTCCTAAGAATCTTAGTAGTAAGTGTGTCTAGTGATAAAAAAATCAACCGCTTTGATTATTTCGTACTGAATAATTAACAGTTCATTACGCCAGCAATTTAAGTGTGAAGGAAGAAAAAGACCCTTTATCCTCAGTTCCACTTACATAATATATCACAAGAATTAAATGACAAGAATTAATGGTTCAGGGAAAGGCGCTTTGACGTGTAACCTAAATTATTAAAGAGAATGTTCTTGACCGTTACAAATGGCGACAACTAAACCACTATTTTTTTAAATATTTAGATTCTAGCCGTCGTATCAAGCACTTACTGAAAAATATTTTATAATTTTATTGCAGCTTTTTCATTAATTATGAAGTAAACGTAGGATCATTATAATTAAGAAAAAGTATACTTATTGGTGGCAGCATTTGTTTGAAAATATATGCGGAAAATACTCTGAAGCTTCCATGACTACAAGGTAGGATAAAGTAAACTGGATTTTTACAGAGTATGAGGCAATTTTGAATTAGAATACTCTAGTAATTAAAGCAGTCGAAGGTAAAGTAAAAGGTCAGGTCAAAGCAGGAATTTTCAGTTAGTGACTTGGAGAAAAACCCACTCTTGTGTCACAACAAATTGCTGAGTGAGTGATTGCAATAGAGGGAAAAAAAGCTATTAGCTTCACCTATCTGTTTAATAGATAGAGCGCAACCATAGTTTTCATTTAAAATTAACCACTCATTAGATCATTTTATTACTTATGAATAAGTTCAGTTTTGATCTGGGAAACTGTCTGATGTTTCTTTGCTTCGCCTTGTTCTATTAGCTCAAGTATGCAATACTGAGATGTTGATTAGTTGTCCAGTTACCAAGGAATCTGAAGCAGAAACAACGTTCTGTGCAGAATAAGACCTTACCATCATTTATTTCGTCAGCTTCTCATCAGCTGCATGCAGCCTAGAGAAACTGACTGTGCGTACAAGATAGTCTTAACAAATTTGTAAATGTTACATAATTTCATTTATTTGGAGACTTCAAACTTAATAAATAGTGTTTATATAGCTCACACACAGAATGTTCAAGTTTAAATAAAAGAAGAGGACCTTAGATACAATGGCAAGCATTTCTTTTTTGTATAAACTTAAACGTTTTGGGTATAAGCTATATAAATGTGATTTCTCAGCTCTGTTTATTAAGTTTGGAGTCTCTTGACGAAATAAATGATGGTACCATCTTATTCTACACATACTGTTGTTCTTGCTTTATTCACATCAATAAACGGGGATTACGTTTTATAAAGAAAGAATAAGTAGTGGTTTTGTAGCTTTTAATTGATACAAAGTGGAAAGATAAAAATTTAGTCTTTGTTTCAGTTTTATTCCAGTAATGAATTCTGTGTGGCATAGGTTGAGACTAAACACACTGAATACAGAGTTTCTTCAGCATTCCATAACAGCTTTCTTTTACTCTCATCACAGAAAAACACCGGAATCTATCTGGACACCAAGCTACATCCCAAACAAACTTAGAAGTCGTCTATAGAATACAAAGCAGTCTTCCTAAAAGTGTACGAGTCAAACTTCTTCAAACTGAAGAAGCAATGGCAATTCACTTGCTAAACCCTGAACTTTGCATACGGAAGAAGTTCATTCAGTCACTACACTTGCAATGGACGTAATCTATCTTGATATACGACAGGTAAATTCTATTTCTTTCTGTCTCTTCATTAGTATTATTTTGCCCTTACAATTGTAATATTTTACATTCTCAACTTTCCTGTTCTCTGCCCCCTCCCGATTTAATTTCTACACTTCATTACCACTGTTACGGACTTGACCAACGCTCGATTTCTAGTCGTTTATGATAGGTCATCCAATCTATTTGGTCAACTTTAGTCTTAATTTAAATGGAATTATTCCCTACTTCACCTCTACTCAGTCTCTACATGTAGTTGCCTCTCTTGCCATCCTGATCTAAGTTGAAACATTTTAGTCAATTATATTACGTCATCTAACTTACTAACTCAATCTTACTTTAGATGCTGTCTAATTAACCTTGTATCTATATCAGATCATTCTTTTATTACCTGATTAATTATTTAAACTTGACAAACCTCATGTATACACATACACAAAATAATTATATATAAATGTGATTGTACAGCTATGTGAATGAATTCGCCGAAAAGAGTTTCTTCGCTAAACGTCTTCTCTTCTTCATATAAAACAATGGTGATTTTTAAGCTACTTAAACGTTGCAAGGAGATCACTGTTTATGGGCAGTCAAAAGCCAGTTAAGATGGACAATCAGAGAACCTAGTAAAATGACGATGTGCTATATCGAAGGGAACAATAATAATGATAAGTTTCTAGCATTGAGATATGAGAATATTTGTAAAAAAAACATTTATGGAAGAAGTTGAAATGCAAAGCAAACACTTGAATTCCGCAAGCGTTTATTCTTTTTGTCTGTATTTGAGAATCCAGTAGCCTATAATGCGTCTGTCAAAATTTGAAAATAATTCTTTAGATAAAAAGAGGAAGAATATGTGTCAGTTATTATTATTATTGTTCCCTTGGGTTCCTAGTGGAACATAGGGCTTCAACTACACGTCTACACTTGCTTCTATCTTCTACTGTGCTTTTCACTGGCGTCCATGTTATTCCATTCTGTTTCAACTCTTCTTCACACGATCCCCTCCATGTCACCCTTGGACGTCCCACTCGCCGCTTCCCCTTCGGCCTCCACTCGAGGGCCTGATGCGCGATGTCACCCAACGGCCTCCTCAGCGAGTGTCCAATCCATATCCACTTTCTCTTACATATTTGTTGAGCGATTGGTTCTTGTTTTGTTTGTTCCCATAGTTTTTTGTTGGTGATTCTTTCCGGCCATCTGATCTTCAGTATAAAGCGAAGATATCTGTTGATAAAGGTCTGCAATAGGCTGTTGGAAATATTCTTGGTGACCCGCCAAGTTTCTGATCCGTATAGAAGAACTAACTGACTTGACGTTTGTATTGAAAATCCGAATTTTGTTGTTGATGCTGAGTGACGAAGATTCCAGATTGGTTTCAGTTTGATGAATGTGTTTCTCGCCTTCCCGATTCTCGATTTGACATCCTCGTCCGTTCCTCGTGTAGTTGAGACAATGCTCCCTAGCTAGATGAGTGAATGAAGTAACCTCTTTCAAATCCCTCCCGTTGATGGTGATTGGTGCTGGATGTTGCTGCTGCTGTTGTTGTTGGTTGGTTATTTTCATAACCTCCGTCTTGTTTATGTTCACCTGGAGTCCTGTCTTTGCTGCTTCTTCGACCAGTTTGTCGGTTTTTGCTTGTAAGTCTTCGATTTTGTGTTTTTGTTAGCATAGGGATTCTGGCTTTATAGTTTTTCCTTAACATTATAAAATTTTATCTCGACCTAAATTTTTAAGAATCTTTAATCCGTAAATACGAATCTTGGATACACCCTAAACCTGTGTATGCATTTACAAGTACCTATAAATTTCGGAAGTAAACAACGTGTATGGATGGTCAGTATCTAAACTGTGCTTCTATCACATTCGTACATACTGGATGTACAGAGAAGAAAACTCTGTTGAAACCAAATTGTTAGCCTTTACTGATTGAAATGATCTGTAAAATAGATATAAAGGAACTTGCATTTTTATTCGGCGCAGTCGGTAATCCATCCAAAACTTTTGCCACTAGCACATCAGTTTCTGAATCGAGTAGGAATACTGAACATCTGGCAAATATAAATGAGAAAAACACATATGATTCATTGAAAAAAACCGGGTTAGAATTGATTTGAAGTCATTCATGAAAAGAGAGTGATGAGTTTACAATCTCACCATTGGAATCTGATAACTTTAATATAAGTAAACGGTTTCGAAAACCTATCAGACTATGTACGTTAAAGAAAATGAAATTTTGAAACAGCACTACAACTTTCCTTTCGTGTGTGAAACGACCATTGCATAGCTGATAAGCCTTTTTATAGAATACAAAGATATTGTGAAATGTAATTGCATAAACTTCTGTGAGTCATGACTCTTTGAGTATATTCTTGCTTAGAGAAATTTCAAGCTGAACTCTACGAAATGTCTGTTTATTTTTTCTCGGTGATCATACTGAGAAATACTTGGAATTATTTTGATGGCCTTCTAATCTCGCATAGCGATCAAGACCAAACTTAATAATTTGATGTGATTAAGTATTTCAGCCGATACATGACATGTCAAGAACTCAAAACGGATTTTGTCAGAATTGAAACTGATTCACTGAATGAAAAATAATTCAAATGATTTATTTTCATATTTCTTCAGACGATGAAAAAATATTAGACCCGAAGAATCGATGACTGATATTGAAGAGGTAGCATCCCTTACTGATGTATTTATTTATTTTTCTGTTCCTTCACGTTCCCAGTGGAACATAGGGCTTCAAGCTAGAGTTTTGAAGTTTCAGTAGCACTGGTGTTTATTTTTACGGGATGGGGCTGCTAGCCTCATGCCCAACCTTCCCTCTTTACCAGTCTCATTACTGGCTTAACGAGGTGAAAGAGTGTGCCGGGCAGGGATCGAACCTCAGACCATATGCGCGGTCAGCAAGCATCCTACTGCTGTGCCACCGACACACGCTATTGTTATTTGATAAATAGAAATAGAACTTCATAATACTGAAAAATATTGAATACAATTGAATGAAGGTAGCATTAGAAAGAGACACACATGCAGGTCACAAAAAAGAAAGGTCAGATATGATCTGTAAATCCTACGAGATCCACTTTATTTAACTGAGGTGTTTCTTTCAGTTTGTCACAAAGTAATTCAACATAAACATACTTTTTGTATTACTTCTTAGGTATCCGAAAGTGAATACTATGTTACAATATACAGAGAAATATTTTCTTACAGGAACCAAACCACAAGTTGGATACTAAATATTTGTTTGATATGATGATAGTTGATACTTGTACCATTCAGTACAGAGCTGAATTTTAGTGAATAAATCTGATAAAAGTAGGTAAACCGTGTGCTGGCTTAGTGCGAAACAGGAAACTAGTAAGAAAGACAGATTTTCAGAATTCGCAACAGTTACCGCCACATAGCCTTCTATAATCCTTAGACTAATGAAAATGATGTTAAAAGCTGTTACCAAGCGTGTTGCAGAAAAATCCCTAGCTAATGGGCACGGTTTTCAGAGCAAGACGTCTTACAATACGAAGAGATACTTTATCTGACTTGTATAATGTATTTAAGCAACACATTTTGAGCATTCTAATCACCCATGTAATTGAGAGGTCCCTTAGTTTCATTTTTAGTTGAAGTGTACATGCCAAATGTTGAGAATCTAGCTGACGACTTAATTAGAATGGTGTATTTTTTTGAACAAAAGTATGTGGATGACATTTTAGTAATTTGTATCAAAGTGACAGATGTCATAGAAATTCTTAACTGGATGAATACACTACAAAAAAGGCATATCGGTGTTTTTAAATGTACTTATAACTCGTGGATGGGATAGGTCAGTAAGACGATCTGTCTGCGTGGATGGGACAGCATATAAATTGTCACTCCAGTATAAAACGTCGTTTTTTAAGTAAATGTAAAGAAGATAGCATTGAATTAGAAATGCAAAACCTAATTAAAATATTGTTAGGTAATAACAATCCACAGAAATTTATTAAACGCTATAGAAACGTCAATTGAATTGCCCCCAAATTCAGTAAAATTTCAAAAGTGGTGTTTATATAACTTTTCGCTTAAGGGCGATCACCAACGTCTGGTCAATAAAAATACATGGAGATGTACTCAGCGGAACTAAACTCATTTTCATCGAGAGAGCAAGACTTATATTGTCCTGTAAACCCTTTACAGTATCGTTACTCTAGGGACGCATTCCACTATGTTTACGGATTTAAGTGTATGTATGGTCACACGTACATAGGAAGGAAACATTCACCTCTGCAAATCAAGGCTACAGAGCACATTTCTAAATGGCCTCAGGCAAAAATAAAACCACCTGATTCACCACTCCCAGAAATTGTCTTTCAGCATTTTCTATTCCTAAGCACATTATAGAGACAGGTACTAAAGCTGATTCTAATAGTGATTTTAGACAGAAAATGTATATGAAGTGGGTTTAAGTCATGTAACCTAATTCGCTGAACCCTTAGCTACAAAACAGGCTTAAACCTACTTTATGTGCTTAAAAATTATTTGTTATTACTTCGAATCGGCTTTAGTAATCCAATTTTGGAAAAAAGGCTCGTTTTACTTAATATTTTCACACTTATTTTTCATCATTACCTTCCCTATCTCTGATCACAACTCTTAAGCATTTCGATTTATACTGATAGAAGTTATGATCATTTATGCTCCATTGCCTTTTTATATAAACATGTAAGAGAAGTGCGTGTGTGACCAGAATATCCGAAATGTGTTGCGGAAATATATTACATGAATCAGAAAAATCTCATCTTCTAATTGCTTTTAGGTCGAAATTCATAAACGGAACTAACTGATCTAAGATATGTGTGTGACTCACTGTAACACAAACAAAAAAGCCTACATACGACTACATTATGATATACTTATAATATTATTCAAGATAATCCCTGTGCTTTGAGAAAGACAAAGCAATATTTCTATGAACATTTCTCTGTGTAATCCACAGCTTATTTAGTAGATTTACCCGGAGTTTATTAAACATCAAAAGATAAAGTCAGAGATAGAGGACAAAGTGAAGTGGTATCTTCTGAAAGTTAGATACTGGCAGCTATTTGTACAAAATGTCAGATAGATTCACTTTAACTGCATGCATTTATTCATCTTGAGGAATTTGAATAAAGCAGGAACAACAGTGGTTTTAGCACTGTTCACTAACTGCTGAACCTACTGTCAACTGGCATCATGAGAGATTTGCTAGTATAATAAAACGTTTCTATACATAAACCTAATAATGTATTTAGGCTGTAAGGATCTGATGAGAAGCCAACGAAATAAATGACGGTACCACATTATTCTGCACAAACCACCGTTGTTCATGCTTTATTCAGATTCACTTTAATTTTTCATATAATCCGAGTGATTGTCAAATAATTTTGTGGCAATCCAACTTGTGTGCGTCAGCGGCTAGGACGCTCGCCGACCATGCACATGGTCCGAGGTCCGAACCCCGGCCGATGCCGTCCTTTACCTCGCTAAGCCAGAAATTAAGTTGGTAAAAGGGAAAGGTTGGGTGTGAGGCTAGCAATCCCATCCTATTAAAATAAACACTGCTACAGGAACTTCAAGCTTCTAGACTGAAGCCCTATGTTCCACTGGGAACGTGAAGGAATATAAAAAAAGAGTCCAACTTGCGTGGGTACTCAAATTACCTCAGGAAATTCACAAGATCTGTAGTCTGGATGCTTGCGATACTGAGACTTTATTCAATTACTCATGACTGGTAAATATTTTGAAAACAAAATATACATGCCAGAACGTATTTGTACGTATATGAATATATTAGACGTGTACTTCAGCACAGGAAAAGTTTTAATTTGAATTGATCGTCATATTGACACAAGTAATCTTTGAAAGTCCACAGTTCACAAGCATACCATCAGCTTAATTATTTACAACAACCGTCAGAAATGCTCAAAATCAGTTTCTGAAGATCCTGCTTTCTCAGTACTATTAGAAATACATGTCAGCAACTTGGAGTGTGCCTGCGTTTATTTTGAACCTTAAGTTTAAATTACTCATAAATGACCTGACAGACTTTCAAATTAATGTAATCACTTTACGTATAACCATCAATAGGCCAGTGGCTTACTCAATCAGACAGTGAGTGAAAACCATTATACTTGCTTAGACGAGAAAATATTTTTTAATTCTTCACGTTCCCAGTGGAACATAAGGCTTCAAGCTAGAGGCTTGAAGTTTCGGTAGCACTGGGGTTTATTTTTACAGGATGGGTTTGCTATCCTCATGGCCAACCTTCCCTCTTTACCAGTCTTATTACTGGCTTAGAGAGGTAAAGGAGTGCATCTGCCGGGGATCGAACTCTGGACCATGTGCATGGTTGGCGATCATCCTAACCACTGTGCCACCGACGCACATACGAGAAAAGATGATTGGTTAAAATCGATTTTTGAAGAGATTAGAGACTCATTTATGTATCGGTGGCACAGAGATAGAATGCTCGACATTCACGCCAAATGTGGTTCAGGGTTCGATCGCCGACCGACGCACTCCTTTGCCTCGTTAAGCTAGTAATAAGACTGCTAAAGAGGGAAGGTTGGGCATGAGGCCAGCAATCCCATCCCGCAAAAATAAACACTACTGTCGGCGAAACTTCAAGCCTCTAGCTTAAAGCCATATGTTACACTAGTAACGTAAAGGAATTAAAAAAGGGACTTATTTTGGATATCATACAGTCTAAAGAAATCGTCCATTTGAATACATCTAAAAAACAACATAAATGTGTATTAAAAAATACCAACCTTTCAGCTTTCGTTAAATTTTGTGCTTCTTGCATAATTTTCAAGAGGAGATTCGTTAAATCCATCATATGGGTGAATATATTCCTAGCCACTTTCAGCATATCCTTGGTTTGATTGAGTTTTATTTCAAATCGAATAATGTCCACGGGGAAAAGAACACAAAAGAATTAACTAAGCATTCGAAAACAAGGACTAATACAATTTGCTGAATATATATGCACATAACCAGGAGATTATCAAGCAACTGTCGTACATCTTAGTTGTAAAAGATTCTTGAAGAATAGAAGTTATGTTGTGTATTCTGGGGGCACAAGGAAATCTTATAAAATGGTCAGCAGTCGAAAAAAAATTACAACAAATTCTGCTTTACTCACTGACTTATATTCGTATAATAAGATAACGTCTGAGGTTTGTAATGTAACCTTTTCGGATTAAATATTGAGTTGCCTATCACAAATCCAAAGGCGGTACTGAGTGGTTTCTCACTAATTTCTGGTCAGTATCTTCATTTACATTCACAATTATGACGCTGCAGTCTTCATTTTGTTTGAAGCTACTTCTTATATCTCCTTGTTATTATTGTTGGCATGCCATCACTCTCTTGGACGTCTAGTTATACCGTCCAGTGGAGTATGTGTGCTACAAACTTATTAGAGGCTGGCTAAACTAGAAGCTGTGATCTGAGTGTTGAAAATTCTGACAGCATTAGGTTCATATGTGCACATTTATTATTAATATACATACTAAGTATTATTTTCTGCTTACCTCTGTTTTATCCCTTATATACCGTTCATTTTGATACGCCAGAGAACTGAGTAGGATGGGAGCAGTAAACCGGAAGCATTCATCGATAATAAATACATCTTCTTGAGTAAACCTATGTGGAGAGTAAGTGATTAAAAACTATTTTAATTATTTTACAATATTTTTGATTATTATTATGATTCACTTGGGTTCCGAGTGGAATATAGACCATCAGCAGTCGATCTCCATTTAATCCCTTACCCTTTAGTCCCTTTCAGATGGCTGCATGACTGCCCACAAACTCATATCTCTTCTTCAAATGGTCTCCTTCATGTCATCCTTAGACGCCTAACCCGTGTTTTCCTATTTCGGTTCCGTTAGAGGCCATGGCACGTAATGGCACTCAGTGGTCTTCTGAGTGTGTGTGTGTGTGTAATCCAAATCCATTTTAGTCTGCATATTTTATGGACGATAAGTTCTTGTGTGGTTTGCTGCCAGAGTTTCTTTTTGCTTATCCTTTCTGACTAGCCGGCCGTCTAATATTCATTATGGAGCAAAACCTAAAGCCTGTATGAAATGTTTCTGGTGACGCAAGTCACAAATTTCTGAACCATATGAAAGGACCAATTTAACATTGGGGTTGAAAATTCGAATTTTCATCACTATATTGATTGCATTGGATTTCCATATTGATTTCTGATAAATGAAGGTCTGTCTTGCCTTTCCAACCCTGGATTTGATATCCTCACCCTTATATTTGAAACGATGCTACCTATCCAAGTTAGTGAATGAAGTGGCTTCCTTCAACTATCTCCAATCGGCAGTGATTGGTGCTAGTTCTTGTTGGTAGAGTAGCTTAATCCTTAAATCCATAATAAACCACTTTGATATTTTCATTTATTCAATAGCAGATAAGGAATTTCGGTCTGAACCCAATCATTATTATTATCATTATTATTGTTTCTTTTAGTCCTCAGAGGAACATAGGGGCTCAGCCGCACGTCTCCACTGTGTTCGGTTCTCCGCCAACGTTTTCACCTGACTCCACGTCTGACTTCACGCTTTCATCTCGTCTTCACATGACCTCCTCCAAATCACCCTTGCATTGATGATCAACTTGCCGCTTCCTATTTCGGTTCCACTCAAGCAATGGCCTATCATGTAAGGTCCCTTAGTGGTTTCTCCAGAATACAACTAATCCATCTCCATTTTTTCCTGTTTATTTGTTGCGCAATCGGTTCCTGCTGGGTTGATTCGTTCATTTCCAGAGATCCCTGTTGCTGAACTTTTCTGGCCAGCGTTTGATCTTTAGTGGTATTGAGAGAAGACAGCTGTTGATGAAAGTCTGTAGTTTGTTCGAAGTGACCTTCGTGACGCTCTGGCTAAATCTCTGATCCGTATAGTACCACTGACTTCACATTTGAGGGAAAAACCCGGATGTTATTTTTCATGCTGAGTACAGACTTGAGAGTAATGAGAGCTTGTTTTGCTTTCTCGATCCTCGCTTTGATATCCTCATCAGTTCCGCTTGTAGCTGAAACGATGCTTCCCAGGTAGTCAGTAGGTGAAGAAGGATGCTTCTTTCAGGTTCCTCCCATTTATGCTGATTGTTGTCTGCTGTTGTTGCTGTTGACCAGGAATCTTCATTACTTCTGTTTTCTCTATGTTCACCTGAAGGCCTATCTTCTCTGGATGCTTCTTCTGCCAACTTGTTGCTTTTCACTTGCATATCTTCCAGTTTGTGGGAAATCAGACATATAAATGTCTTTGGAGAAGTCCAGATCCTGCAAGTTTTTTGTGTGGGTTTATTTTATGCCTGTTTTGTCGCTGCCCGCTATTCATCGCATTATCCAGTCTACCGCTATCAGGAAAATCATTGGAGATAATAGGCAGCATTGTCTTACTCTGGTCTTCACTTCGAATGATTCCGTGAGTTTCCTATTGTGGATTATTTGGCATGCGGCATCGTCGTACACTCTGAACCCAAGAAAAAAATATAATAGATAATATCTCTAAGACCTGCTAACACGAATTTTTTTAAAATCTAAGGATATAAGCTTTTTCACTGCATAATGAGATACTTTATTTCACACATATCACTTATGACGACGATGTCAGCATTCACTGAAGCTATGATCATACAACTGAAATTCTCAGACATTTAGTAGTGATTTTAATCGTACGTGAATGATCAAAGTGCTCATGGTATAAAGGTTCCAAAATAAGTTGATTTCCAAGTCTGTTTCGTTGTTTTATAATGACTAACATATATATTAAATCAAGTAAATGAAGCGAATGCAGTTGTAAATGCACAGAAATGAAAAAAAACACAACAAATAATAATTCAATGAATTTCAACTTACTGAGATTCTCCTTTCTTATTAACTAAACAAAGAACTCCAATTGGTTTATCAGTAGAACGACAATAAATTGGGCTACATAGAACTGAATTAATTTGTAGAATTGTGCTTGAATTATTTGTACAATTTTCACTTTTCATGTGTAGATGACTGTTTGTGAGCACAGAAAGCAAAGCTTCCTTTTGTTCCTAAATATAAAATGGTTGTATAAAATAATATTGGTGTATATATCTACACATTCAATAAGGAAACGAAAGCAAGTGGTATAATATTCTCTGGTTTCACAGTGCATATGTGTTTGTTTATATAAGCGACATAGGATTTATGAATTAAGTCAAAATATTCAGATTCCAGTTTGTAAGGTTGTGACTGATTTCAATTAAGATTACCAACTGATATTACTTAGAGAATCATCAGAAACCAGGAAGTACTGGACATCCTAGTCTGTGACACTTCAGCTGCAGACGTTTACAACATCAACAAAGGTCGAACATAAGTAAAGGAAGCCATCCCCTAAACTATTCTGCCAGCAAGACAGGACAGAATAGCCTATGAAGCCCAACTTCTGACTAACAGTGTATATTGCTGCCACCAGCCAACCTTATCAGTGAATATCCGTCGCCACACCTGACTAAGTGGAACAAACAGATTCAAACCAGCATTTGAAAATTAATGCTTATTTGGGAGTGACTATAGGCTACAGACACCTAAAGTTCTGGTGGAAAGTTATGACTAGTGCGATCCGCCTAGTAGAGTGAGAGGACAGATAATCACTGATGACATTGGCTGATGATGAGTGTGTATAATGTGAATCGGTAGAAGTAAGAATTACTCCACAGTGAGAAAATGATCATAACCCACAAGCTTCTAATTCGATCATCTATGAGGTTGTGAATGTGTACTGCTGAAGTCTCACCAACTAGGACGAAACGGCTGCCCAGTACTCTTTGGTTCTGGATGTTTCTTTAAGTGATGTCAATTCGTGATCTTACTTGAGATTCCAATTAATGATGATATTTAATTACACTGAGATGTCAGTGACCTACAGAAAATGTAACAAAGACTGCTAATGAAAAAAAACTCAAAAAATAAACTTTAATTCGCAACAACTTCATATAAGCCAGTAGTGAATGTCATTTAGTAAAATTCTTAACTGATCATTCACAATTCAGCATTATTTACGCATTTATTTTCTTTCAGCAATTAGTTACTTCTTACTGAAAACTTGTTTATACAACTTAGTTGTTGCTCTTGTCACTATCCTTTACTTAACGCCGAATGAGTTCAAAATAAATGATGTGAAATATAAGTCAGTACAAATTATACAATGTGTCACTAGAAGCTTACAAGACAATATTGTGAATGTCACAGATAATCTAATAATTGTTATTGTCATATTTATGGTGTTGATTGTAGAGGAAATCTTTGCGAATTTCAGTTTTGTGCAACCGTTTCATGTTTACATTAAGTATACAAGAGCATACATAGGATGCGTTATCAAACTCCGAATCGCTTGTCTTTTGATTAGTACTTGAAGTGAAAAAGGATTTCGTTTAGTTAATCAGCTGAACATGTGGTATCTGATTTAACATTTAGAAGTAAGCAGTTATATGCTTCAGTTTAGTCGGTAATATTTTTCATGATTTATGCTGTAAAGGATGTTTATTTTGATTAGACACTAGTAACTAGTGTAACGTGTCTGGTCCTTTCTTTGGTGCTGACTGAATTCTATCAGTCAGGTTTGCAATGTGGCCACCATTCTAGGTAGCTCGCCACCACGGTGCACATTGATTTGATGATATTAGATGGTTGGAGGCAATCGACAGGAATCCCTGCCTGACCTAGGTTTCATGCTAGTTGGCACTCGTCAACAAGATGTATCTGCAACTCTGAAAGAACTCATGTCTCTTCTGAGATTCTGACGAGTGCCAACGAGCATGAAACCTAGATCAGGCAAGGCTTCCTGACGATTGCCTCCAACCATCTAATACCATCAAATCAATGTGCACCGTCATGGTGAGCTACCTAGAATGCAAGCCACATTACAAACCTGACTGATAGAATTCAGTCTGCACCAGAGAAAGGACTAGACACATCACACTAGTTACTAGTGTCCAATCAAAGTATCCACTACAGTCCTACAGGAGGTCATTCGCGAGCCCAAATAGCTTCTCAGTGGTAACTTCTCTGACTGCAGCACTGGGTTCGAATCTCAGAAGAGACATGAGTTCCTTCGAGGTTGCAGATACGCCTTCTGAAGAGTGACAACTAGCGCGAAACCTAGGTCAGGCAAGGCTTCCTGCAGATTGTCTCCAGCTACTTAATATTATCAAAGGTTTTTATGCTATTAGTCTTATTTGCATATATTTTATCTGGTAATGTGGTTTTTGAGACAAATAATTGTGAAATAAAATCTGTCTCCGAAGCATATATCTTGCATTAAATTCTAGACTAGTTAGTTCAAAGCTATAGCCTTAACAGGAAATATATTTAAACTGTCACAAATCATTCTTCGAAAAATTATTGCCTATAGGCTAGTTCAGTGTAGGTACACTTGAGAATAAAAACTTTATATTTCTGTTTTAAACAACTAGAATGTAATAACCACAGTGAATTATTTCACATATTTAAATGTCCTTTATTATTTTGTATCAGAAAAATGAGAATATTACACAATATCATTTTGGTCAATAAAAAGTATCTTGGAAAATCAAGACAATCACCCTCGCCTGTCCCATAATGAATATAAGAACACATTTTAGGGCTGATAAAAAATTGTCTCACGGTATTCAGATTAGACGCTAACAAAAATATTAAAATGTACAATTCAAACACCTAATGCTAATGTGTACCATGGATGTAAAATTTCAGTTTGAAAACACTCTTTACCGCCAAATAGATAGTGTAGCTATGGACAGTTCACTTAGCCCTGTTTTAGCAGATATCTTCATGTCCAACCATGAGAGAACAAAGTTGAAGCATGCAATCGACGAAACAGCTTCCTATTGCCGATATGTAGATGATATATTTGTAGTGTCTAATAATGAAAGTGATGCTTCCTACCTACTCGGATTATTCAACGAAGAATATACAAAAATTGAATTTACTAAGGAAAGTGAAACTGGTAGAAAGTTTCATCTCCTTGACATTGCCATGCAACGCCTGGAAGATGGTAGTCTTTGTAGGTTAATTTACAGAAAGCTGACATGTCCAAATAGCTCTTAAACACCTCTAATCAAAACTCTGTATTACAGAGCTCGGAGAATATGTTCTACAGAGAAATTAGAGAAAGAACTTATGTTTCCCGAAGAGATGTTGAAAAACAACGGTCATCCTCAGAGATTCATTAACAGGTATGGAAGATGTAAAGGCTCAATTGTCAAATAAATCACAATAGGAAAGAAGCCTATCTTCATTCTTCTTGATTTTAAAAGCGAAAATATTGCAGCAATAGTCAACAGAAGATTGAGTAAGTCAATAGCTAGAGCCTATGCTGCAGCTAAGTTGGTTCCCTTCTTACGCATAACATGCTCTTTGGTCCAATCATAAGTCAGCAGATACCGTTCTCATGTTATCTCCAACTGTCTACACAAATTCACATGTATCTGCAGGGGGAGTAACATTGGGAGGATAGAAAGAAGAGTATACCTACAATTTTCTTAATGTGTACCAACAGCCTATGTCTCAAGGGAGCAATTGCTTTCAACGGTGCCACTGCTAGGCATCTTGACACGGATTACCAGGTGAACTTCTCAAGATTGGTCAAAATTATCAGTAGACAAAAGAGTTCACTTCTCCCGAAGTTTGCCGAAGCATTTTCCATCAAGCGCTTGAAACCCGATTTATGCGCTCAGAAAGAAGTGGTTGTCAGTCTTTCCTTGCCCTGGTAACTGGATGTTTTCATCCTGTTTTTCATCTGATTACGCAACGTTGAAAGATTTTATTGTGTATAATTATTATTGTTTGTGATAAAGTGATTATTATTACCATTGCATGCATGTATTGATTTTTTGTTTAAAATGAACTCTTCGTGTAAGTATGTTAAAATACTTTCTCTACATAAACTCAATAATTTCTTTAGACTGTACTCAGCTGATGAAAAGCCAATGAAATAAATGATGGTACCATTTTATTCTTACTTTATTCAAATTCATGAAGGGAATAAATGAATGAAATTAAATAAGAAAGTTATCATTAAGAGAAGGTTAATAAACAGCATTTAAAACTTAGGGAACGTACTGAATTAAGAGTTTTACTTCGAAATACTTCACGCGTTTGCATTATTTTGTTAAAAAAGCTTTCATGCTGAAAAGTAAAATAATTTTAATAAAAAAGCTCACTGAACATAATATGACAGTCACGAAAGATTAAAATGTGCAATTTTATGTACAACCAACTAACTCATTGAAAATTGTAAAACATTTTGAAACGAATGATATTTAACTAGTGTTATTGAGTATTTCTTAACAACGATTGTAAGTACAAGGGAGATAATCTGTTTGAAATGAGTAGTACAGTCCACCTTGTCTTTGTATGTATTAGCCATTCAAAACAGAGTTTTTTGTAGAAAATTGAAACCACAGCGTTGGGGTATCATTTACACATGGCCATTCACCAAATGCCATTTCTCATAAAGATTTTATTTAAAAATGCTATGAAGTTTGCAGCATAAGGTTCTATGAATCCTTACTCAAATTAAAAGAAGTGACTCGTCGATTTCCACTTTGGGAGTAAAATCTATCCCCTACAGTTTCAACGCCAAATGGTAAACGATTTATAGAAAAATATTAGAATTCGAAATAAAACAAAACTGTCATATATATTAGTTTATCAAAAACGACCACTAAAGAATTCCTGACTGTAATAAGCAACCGTCTGATACTCATTAATGTCAACTGACCTTCTGAAGATTGTTGATTTCATATACTAGTTTTTTTGATCGGATACTAGTCAGTAACTAGTGCGATGTGTTTAGTCCTATCATTGGTGCGGAATGAATTTTATCAGTCAAGTTTGCAATGTGGCCACCATGCTAGGTGACTCGTCATCACGGTGCACCGCGAACTGGTGGTTCAGGTTCGAACGCCAGTCAACGCACTCTTAAACCTCATTATACTAGTTTGTTTTATATCTTGATTTTCATGAACTCAATTTACGTATGGCTGATGACACCTTGTGAAATATGTTCACATGATACTGCACTAGAACATGTCTTGCTTCTAGTACAATTTTCGAAGATCATACGTACATGTTACTATGCTTAAATCTGAAATTACAGCTTGCATAAACATATGGATTTTTAGACATTTTGCCCTTATTATTTTATCAACGGTGTAGGTGTCTATAGTTTGCAAGTGTTGGTATTAAAGATACTTTATTAACTAATTACAACAGACATATAGAAGGCCTGCAACACAATGAAACAGAAATTCCACCATGCCCAGTAGAACAACGACAAAAATAGTATTTTAAAGTGACAATATAGGTACTAACTTTAATGCTGCAGACTTTATCTTATGGTATTTTATGAAATCAAATGGCATATGAGTACATGTAAAGACAGCTGCTTTTTATAAGACAAATGTAAGAGAACCCTATCGTTCATATGCGAATATTTAATAAAGCGTAGACAAATTAACTCCGTTGAGTCATTAAGAGAATAGAAAGTCTCTTGTCGCAGTGTGATGCCCAGTTGACACACATCTCAACTTTGCCCAGCCGATAATAAGTCCAGAAAGGAGGGCAAGTTGGCTTTGAAGCTAGCAGCTGCACCCCTTAAAAACAACACAAGCGCTTCTGAAGCGTTAAAGCCTCAAGCTTGAAGCCCTATATTCGTCTTGGAAGGCAAAGGAACGAAAATAGATCTACAATTGAAAGTGTCTACTAGTTTCCACTGCATGTTCAGTGATACATATGCTTGTTGTCTGAAGTTTGTATCAGATTTTCTCGGTTTCATATATTGGTTGATCTGTCATCTATGTAGTTCAGCTACCACTAAGATGTCTAACTGATGGTCGTGTTCAGAACGAAAACAAACAGAGTGATAAGGTATACTACGAAGATTGCTTACATTACTGTTGTATCTATAAGACCATACTTGATTACTCCTAAAAACCTTTAATTTACGTTCTCATGAATAAATCTACTCATTGACATGCATCTGTGCTGCGTAGAAAACCAAACGCCAACCTCTTATGCATAAGGTACACTACTACATATTATCAGTGAATTTATATCAAGGGAGTATCCCATACAAAGTAGAAAGTACTTCTTTACTTTGTATACAGGGAAGGTTGTTGAGGAAATTGACGCTTTATCAAATGGGACTATACTTCAGCCAATTTTCAGACTGAATACATGAACTTATATTATATTTAAAGCCAGTTACTGAAAAGATGTTTATTTATACAAGCTATCTCAGTATTAAATATTTTTAAATATGAATATAATATCATACAAGAATTTTTGATAAAACCAGTGATGAGATGTATATAGTGTCAAATTGTTTTTGGATTAAAAGTCTTAATCAAAATAAAGAATTATTCATCATGTGACAGTGGTTCAGGGGTTCAGTGCTCGCCAGTCACGTAGGTGATGCAGTTCGATTCTCTGCTGACTCACTCTTGAACCTCGCCTAACTAATTTCTCTGTCATTAACCATCATGTAATTATTAGTTTTGTGGTTGTTTTTTCTTATTTTTTCATTTTTCTTTTCGGCAATACTAAACTGACAACCATTGTTTGTGAACGCCATTGTCACCACCTTAAAAATTTTGTATTATGCAGGATTACTCACACTTCTACTACAAACACCGCATTAGACCTGATAAAAAAACAACAACCCTGAAATGTTATTTTATGATTGTTTAGTGTTGTTTCAACCAAATCAACTGATCATCCTGGCGATAAACATTCTTAAATATCATTTCATAACTTCTTGTATCACTATAGCTTTACTGTCACCATGCATAATCATATCATAGCTTTCACTACCCAATACTGAATTATTATTATATGATGTTTCTTTTCCTTTCTACTTCTTGGTATTTTTTCGTATTTTTTTAAAAATTATTTTGTTTTTCCTGTTTTTTTTTGCTGTCGGTGTCTTTATATTTATTTTTTTGACATACTCCTTTTAAATGTCTGATAAAATTAGATGCAAATATTGTAGATATGTACTGAAAATTCCACACCGTACCACTAGTACTGTTTCTGGAATAAAGCAAATTATTATTAATAAGCCAAAGAAGAGCAAAGGTCGGGCATCTACTGATTCTTCAAAGCATGAAGCCTTTTGCTCAACTCGGAACGCAAAGGAATTCAACAGCGTCATCATCAGCTATTCCTCAGTTAAACAAACTTTCGATTACTTGCATCAGCTACAATCATATCTAAATTTTGACATGTTAAGAATATTCTTACAGCATGTCAAACACTTAGTCATTATAATGATAATAATGAGTAACTTACTTCAATATATGTGGATTCATCAAATATTTCGTCACCAGTACACTTGAATGGAATCAGAAAAAATAACAGTAACGTTAAATATTTCTCTGGCATAGATATACACATGTTCAGAATATATCTTATAATAAAGTTATAGTGATAGCAGTTCATGAAACTTAATTATTTTTTAATTTATTATAGCTTGATTCCACACAGTATTTTGGTACAAGTATGGAATTTTCAGCATGTGATATCGGTAGCCCAAATTTTGCAGGCAGACCATTGATATCGGGTGTGTGTTGGCCGGGAATCGAACTCCGGACCATGTGCATGGGCGACAAGCGTCCTAAATGCTGTGCCACCGACGCTTTCTAAATTGAAATGATTCCCTCGAATAAAACATTTTTTCATAAGCGAAGAATATTACCTGGGAAAACGCGTTGCTTTAACTTCAGTCTACTTAATCCTTTGTTCATCAGTGTGGCAGTATTCAGTGAAATTCGAGTGTGAAGACTTATTGGTAAGGTGTGGAGGACGTTCACAAATGAAACAGGTTTGCTAAGCAAGAAATAATGCTTTAGAGTAGTTCCATAGGTTTTCCCTTACCAATGATATGACGCAAACACTGGTACAATTCGGATAAAAAAAAAACATCAGGAGTATGATACTTGTAACTTGATATGTCCTTAGTTTGACGCCTACTCATTTTCACTTTCTTCCATTACATAGAGTTCCGAAAATACTTTATTTTAACTCACACATTATTGTCCATATGTTTAGGCTTTATCCTTATAAGTGTCCGGGTATTAGGTCTAATTCTGAATTGACTACTATTAAAATTATTTCTATTGTTTTTTTGCTCATCTTGTTACTTTTCGGTTTTATTGTCTTTCTTTACACACGCATATATACAGTATATCTATAATTTAGCAATTCTAATAAAATTTTGATACATATATCTTGTATTAATTGTCAAAAAATGCTACTGAAGGAAACTTAACCTATTGTGTAGCAAAAAATTCAACTTGTCTTGTTTTTTTCGCTTGTGGATATCCTGCTTTTTTACCCTATGTATCATTTTTACTAACGCATTTTCACCAGATATCAAGTTGGATGAAAGTTTTTCAGAAACGTTTTTGAGAGCATTCACAATGCGAGAAAAAACTGATCAGTGATGCGTTACGTAAAAGTGATGATAATTCCATAGTTCAATTCTGCATAGAAGAATGATCATTATTTCGTGACAAATTCAGAGAACAGCAGCTAACATTAATCATCAACCACTGAACAAGCAATGAAATCAGCTCTCGAAAACTCTGTCAACTCAGGACATCGGGTACTGCTTCATGACTGCTTCACAGCATTACACAAAGTATCTCAATATCACACGAAAGGACTTCGAATACACCAAAGCCGAATCAATGGCTATTCGAGACTTGAAACAGGACGTCTACTTTTAGAAGCACTACATACATTCATTCGCTTTGTCATGATCAGAGTAGCGTCATTACCATAATTATGTTTCATTTTATTGTTTGGGTTTACTACTGTTATAATTTTTAAATTAAAATTATTTTGTTAATAATAAAAACGCAGCATTTTGGTACAGATTTTATGGAGACACTTTATGGTTGTCAATGTTGGTGAACATTGAATAGTATGTTTGTTCAAACTGGTCTCCATTTGGCGGGAGACAAGAAGGCTGTCATTGCTTAATTGTATACTGGTTGGCAGAAGACTGGAGAAATACGATCAGAAGTATTGTTGTATATTATATTAACGTTTGCTTACAGACTTTAACACTGATTAACCAGTGTAAATCTGTTTCGTTATCGCTTAAAGAATAAATAATCGTGTTGCCCAACCGTTTTCTGTTGTTCCGCGTTGGTAACAGGGCATAGTGTACTGAGTTTTAAGCTTAATCTTCTGAAACCAGTAATAATTCCAGGATCTCAGCGATCCGGATATTTGACAATCGTCTTTCCACTAGATTTTGTCCACTATATACATTTATAATGCTTAATCATTTTTACATGTATCATTTCATTTCAACTTCTAGTCCTTTTTTCCTAATCTACACTTAGTTGTCCCCTTCTAGATTGCACCTCAAATAATAATTCAGTACATTTTCTAGAACATAGTCACCAGTATCTGATCGGTCATATGAACTCTTTGGAAGGTTTAAGTACCTCTGTACAGCTCTTGGATATGATTCTTCTAAAAGAAAATCGTCCCCGCTGTATACTTCTTCTCTTTCTGATGACTTAGTGTAGGAATCTTCCGTTCGTCATTATTACTTCATATTCTTTTCTTCAATCTTCACCTGAATGAGTATATTATCTCACATAGCATCATAAAATAGATATGGTTTCTGCTGCAACTACTAAACTCATGAGCATATTTATCAGTTACATTCCCAATCAGTCTGTTTAGCTGTTCAAGGTCTAGACTGAAAATTGATATGATAATGAGCAATATTTTATGCTCAAAATGTCATCCAGTTGTTAATACTGCATCAGTGTGTAATATTTAAAATAAACTTATCTAATATGGAACTAGGTTAATACTGACTGCTATTCATCAGCATTGTCTTTTTGAAAATAATCGATTTGAATGCACTATCAGATTATTTTTATTTTACGATAAACCTCATAATTCAACTCAGAAAATTATGATGATGAATTTTCTGAAAGTCTGAAATTGTCTGACTGTGTGAATTGTTTTAAAACTACAATATCACTGCTTTATCCATTCAAGAATAATTATGGATTATTTAGATGCTTGAGACTGGAGGCGGACCTATTTTTTTTAATTCCTTTACGTTCCCAGTAGAACATAGGGCTTCAAGCTAGAGCTTTGAAGTTTCGGTAGTAGTGGCGAAAGTATGTAAATTATCCAAACCTATATTGCAGCTCAAGAAATCTGGCAGATGGAAGAGGCTTTCTTCAGTCGATCAGCAAGCCAGGTATATTGTCTACCTGTTCAAGAAAGCATAGTTAGAAAGTGTTATCTCCCAAAGGATATACTTCCTCACCTATCCTGTGAAAGTCTTCCTTTAATCCGGTGATATATAAACAGGCAGTTGTTTGCAGAAATCGGTGGTCACTCAACACTGATGCTAATGCCAAAGACAAATCCACTAACACGGAAGGAGCAGCCAGAAAGTCATAGCCTCGTACGTACTTATATAAAAATTTCTAATTTTATTCTTTTTTTTCTATAATGGCGGTCTGATTACTGACATATTCTTATTCTGGAATGAGGCTTATATAGTGCATGCTTTTTGGAGTGACTTATCAAGTGGTATTTATCCTTCGCACATGGTTTTCACGTAAAATAACAACTAACTATACGTTACTTGATGTTTATATATTTATGTAAGACACAACTAAGGAACACAGAAGTATGTTTCTCGACATGTTTGAAACCAGTTCAAGTAAATAATATATGCGTTAGGATATATATGAATGCTTCAAGTAGCATAGAACCCAGTAAACTTCATACACATTGTTGTGTTAACAATCTTGTAGATGGTGACTAGCAGTGGAATCCAGGATGTGCATTCTGTCCTAATTGGGACGCGTCGTCTGTGTGTACCTACAATCCCCAGTGACTGATGATGTTCCTATATATGCCAACAGAGGTCAAAATTGACTTAAAACATATTTAGCAATCTAGTAGTAGCTTAGGGAGGCGGCAATAGAATTACTCGTAAAAATCTCCTCAGCATTTTCAGCCCCTTAAAACTTCATCTTAGCATCGCTTTCATTGTCTCGTGTTATGCATTACGGACATGTTTCAAAAGATGACACCTAGAAGATATCAAATGTTTCAGCTTTTCTAGTCATTCGTCTTGTGCACAGGTTAGTGAATAATTGTTATAAAAGATATGCATATATAATTTATGTCATCCAGCCATTTCTTACTTCGTATTTCCAAGAAAGATTCTTTGTCTCCATTACCTTTAAAAATAATCAATTACAATGAAATTACTATTATTATTTTGTATTTCGACTTTCATTCATAAATTCATATATATATAAATGGCAATATTTTACAGGACAAATTGAATTTCTCAATAAGGAGTTAACGATATTTCACGTGTTCACAATTCAGTCGAATGGAATAATAAACCTTTTCGAGAAGTGGTTAAGAGATCTGTCATTCAGGGCTATGCTTGGAAAGCATAAGCACAAAATTCACACACATTCAATAAGAACATACATATTTGATGAAACTTTTAGTTTATATTTTGATGTTTTTAATTACTTTTATCAAGAAATGTGTCACCCTCTTTGCCTAATACTATTCCGAGTATAGCTGAGAAAAAACCACGTAGAATAAAATAACTATTTAATACATTAACCAAAAAGTAAAACTCACATAACAAACCAATTCCGAAGTATCTGCGTTTCGCATAACAATGAAACCATTTTCTGCATTTGTACGTTCCATTAACTGAAAGAAATAGGATATTGTCGAATGAAAATTTCGAAAATATCTAATTCTTGTGCGTCAGTGGCACAGCAGTAAAGTGTTTGCCAACCACGCAGATGGTTCGGGGCTCGATTCCCGGCCACCAACGCACTCCGTAACCTCTCTAAGCTGGTAATAAAACTGTTAAAGAGGAAGGTTGAGCATGAGGCTAGCAGTCCTATTCCGTAAAACTAAATGCCACTACTACCGAAACTTCAAGCCTCTAGCTTGAATCCCTATGTTCCACTGGGAATGTAAAGGAATAAAATAAGTAATAATAAAAATACTTGCGACTGATCCTATACAGGTAGGTAGTTATCTGGATTCTAGTGAGAAGTCATGGCTAGCAATTCGGATGTGAGGGCAAATGCATCCCACAGATGATATTAGCTAGTGATTTTGCTATATCGTGAATTGGTAGAAGTTAGAATTCATGGGCTGGCCATTGGATCGGGTCCCAGTGGCTTAATGGTCTACCAGCTCTCCTTGTAACTGGAGGGTACTGGGTTCAAACCCTGGTGGTGGGGTTGCTGAGTACTGCCGAAGAGTCCTAGACTAGGACGAAACGGCTGTTCAGTACTCCCAGATTTTCCAGTGGCTGTCTAAGCGATTTCAGCTCATGATGAAACACAGCAACCAGTCAAATCTCTAAAAATCAGCACTTGAGTTAAAAAATTATTTTTGACAATGAAATGACTCTGAAAAAGTCTTGAGATTTAAATTCGATGGTTAGAACCGTTCACTGACTGTTTTTCAGTCTGAAGTTCAGTTTTTATTCAATTTTTGAAATAAATAATGAAACGTTTCTTCTTGTCAAACAAGATATATTTCAACTGACTGTATGAAAAATTGTGCAAATATGTAAATTACAGGATGCAGTTGTGGGTGAAAAGTTGCAGTCACACAACGCCTATGACTGTGGCTGAGAGTGATGGGTGCCAGCGTATTTGAAACCTAGGCACAAGGCTTCCCGCCAATTGCTTCTAACCATCTTTAATCAAAAATTCACAGTGCACCGTAATGGTAGCTCGCCTAGCATGGTGGCCACATTGCAAATTTGACTGATAGAATTCAGTCTACACCAAATATAGGATTAGAAAAATTTCACTGGTTAGTAACTGGTGTCCACTCAAAGTTGAAAACCATTCAAAGTAGGATAAAAGTTCACCTACTTATTCTTCTTTTCAGTGAAAAGGAATTTTAGATCCTACACAAGCCATCATTATCTCTAGTGGTAATAGGAATAAGCAGCTGCCTTCTTCTAAGATTATGAATTTTCACCAGTGCAAGCCTGTGACACAACAGTAGATAAAACACAAAATTTTCAGGTTCTAATAAAGTGCCCATCCATTCAGTCACGGTACCAGAGTCTTATGCTAAATGAATTGTAGCCTCCTCCAGGCTGGAGCGTTGCTCCCATGCCAAACAACGGCGTTGTGATCATCTGCTTGAAAAAGCCATCTCAGTGGATGCCATCAGTCACAAAGTTTCTCCCAAACTTCAGGATCTCTGTTATGAGCGATTTGTAAGTAACTGAGTGTCGAGTTTCTTGGCATACGTGACGAAATCTACATTGGAATTACCTGGACTCTTACAAATAAAACGTTTCGACACAAGAGGTATTTGTAACTATGTAAGTTATGACGGGTGTACACAAAACAACTTTAGTGTGTATCAAAAGTCATCCATGAATTTATTGAGAGTAGTTATCGGCTGTATGCACCAAACTAAGATATAAACTAGAAAAAGTTGAGAATTGGTGGACATCAGTCGTCTCATAAGGCAACCATTTTGAGCTACATCTCAATAAATTAGCTGGTCACAAACACACCGATAATCTCTGATATGAAAACAAAGTTACTATTCATTTTTACCTTGATTTTTATTGACTCCATACTTGCCACCAAATGATGAAATAAAATGCTGAATAGATTATTTTTTTTAAATATAATGATTAATGAGTTAGACGTCAGCAAATAATCGATACAGCTAAACATGCTACTTAATATACCATTTGCAGAATAAAAGGGCAAATAAAATAAAAACACTTACATATCTAAAGACTTTATGTTGCAAGCGGCCTGTTTCCACATCCCAAAGTGACTCTAATTTGAAGGGAAATAATAAACGACATTGAATATATATGTAATATTGAAGTCCTAGAAAATGATATTTGATAAAATTTGGATTAAAAGAATGATGTCCTTTATTCTGGTAATACCTTATTCATTCACTTGATGCCAGCTTTAAGCTGTGAATGCATTGTAATTACTGTGAAGGCTCTAAGAGAAGCATTGAAATTGCTAACTAATAACTTCACTTCGAAAATACACTATTTTGCTGTTAGGAAATTTTGTAAGTTGTGCTCAGATCAGGGATTTGAAGATAATTCATCGATGTATTATAGTTTAAATGAACGAACTTTGAAAAGTCTTTGTAACAACTGGGGTTATTTCAAAGACAATTTTGCTACTATTAGTTTATAGGCGAATAGTCGATTAAAAGTCCGATCATGGATTAATGTCAGTTGGAGAAACACTTTAAACCAGGAAGCACTTGACAGCTGTTTCATCCTAGTTTGGAACTCTTCCCCAGTGTGTATCCAAGAGCCTACCGAACATCGAACCCAGTACCACGGGTAGCGAGGTATTTAATGCTAATAGGCCAGACACTGGGACGAAATCCAGTGACCACTCTGTGAATGTTTACTTCCATCTTATTTCTCATTAATTATTTTCTCACAGTAACAGTAAGTGTATCATAGAACACTTTTATTGGTCAAGATATACCTTGAAACAAGCATTAAATATTACTGACGATACAGATTAGATCTGTAATAAATGAATTTAAATAATAATAATCCTATGTATTACCGCAAAGCTTTAAAATCATCATTTTATCCTGTCGATTAATCCATGTTGATGCTTCTGTGCTTTGACTGCAACAAGGATCTCTTCTTTTCAATACAGGTGACATTGGTGCAGCGTCATCCAACTGTTCTAGACGAATAATTCTGCCTATTGTAGACGATAGCTAGTAACCATTAAAAAGGATAGAAAAAAGCGAAAGTAGGAGTTGCTTTATAAACCGTAATCAGTAAATACTAACGAAATTTATGTCTTTAATAATGATTATATTTCAGAAAAACGTTCTTTGATGGACTCGAGCAGTCATTTTGCTTTAAAATTGTGAAGAAACTCCTATATACTTCATGAAAAGTGCTTAATAGTAGAAATCAAACGAAAGACAAATATGTGTCCAGGTCTTATCCGCGATGAATTTTATACAGCACTAAGGGTAATATTCGTTTTGATTTAATTTCGTGTTTCCTGTTGAATAAGTACATTGGAAAGAAAAGCTTGGTCACTGTCAACAACTTTCAGGAAATAATATGTTATTATTAGGTGAATGGTGACTAGCAGTGGAATGTAGGATGCGCATTTCATCCTATCTGAACGTTTCAGCACTTGGAATGATGATTGCTGGGCTCCATTTTCAGCGGGTACACCGTCATCCAGTGAGAATGTAAATACTCCAAGCTGAATAGTCCGAAGGATTTCATTGCACTACTAGGCAACATCTTCAGCGCATACTTCAATTTGAAGTGAGCTTTTAGATTCCTCCACGAGTTTATTAGTCATCTCTTCCGGTGACCTTGAACGTGATTGGTTGTTTTTGTGTTTTCATATCCTCTAGGCTACTTCTATTGGAACTGATTGTTTTCTTGACTTGAACTTTGACCACTTGTGAGTAGGATTTCCCTCTTATCGACTGGTGAATTTAGTCTATCTCAATGTGTCTATTGATACAAGTAGCCTAGAAAGTGTGAAAACACACAAAACCAACCAATCACGTTCAGGGTGACCAGGAGAGATGACTAATAAACTCGTGGAGGAATCTAAAAGCTCATTTCAAATTGAAGCACGCTCTGAAGATTTTGCCTGTTAGGGAAATGGAAGCTTCGCAAACAAACTATCCGGCTCAGAGAAGACAACCACATCGAAATCATCCACCTGAGCTACAAATCTTCTCCATCATATATCTGAGCCTACATTTTCAAGAAAATCCCGTGTCTAAACTTTATGATGCTTATTCCACGGTTAAAATCACCTATTCAGAAGTAAACAGTTATTCTTAAACAACGTTTAAGTGAGATATAAAAATGTTGTTTAAAGTTAGATAGGTAGCTCTATTAAAAATATTTCTTTATAAATGCAGTGGTGGTATATGGGAAGAGCGCTCGCGTACTACACACATGGTGCATATTTCTCTCACAGGCTGGCGCACCACTCAACCTCGCTTACCTGATAGTAGACCTGGTAACCACAAAGAGTTGGGCGTAAGGCTTGCAACCCTAATCCTTAAACAAAGATACCACCACTGCTACTGAAAGTTAGAAGCCTAAGCTCTGTGTTCCACTCGAAACAAAAATGAATAAAACCTTAAAAATATTATAAGTAAATGAAATATCTATAGAGACGATTATGTTATTCATGTTTTAACAGAAATCTGAATTTGTAAAAAATTATATTTGTAAAATCTCAGCGAGATTGAAATGAGTAATTCCAACGTTTCGTTCGGCAATCTGGTCCGAACTTCTTCAGGGAAATTAAGTGAAATTAACATAACAGAGGTTTATATATAGAAGGAACATCTTTTGTTTTTAAAAACTTTGTCCAATCATGAGTCATTCAAAAAGACTTTAAACAGAGTGTGTATGTGTGTGGGTAAACAGTTGTAAAACATTTCTTAACGTCTCCATAAGAAGATATGGACAGTCGAGAATTTTGACCAAGTATTAATAATTGGTGATACATATCCATTTTTTACTTATTAATAAAGATTTCCTATGCATCAACTAACATCACACCTTCATGTCTGTTCAAACTGCTAGTATCTAGAATTTTATGATTAGACGTATTTTCAAAATTATGGTGTTTAGGATTAGAGTTTAGTAGAAGCACCCTGTCGGACTTATTGCATTGTCTTCTTTCTGAATATTGAGCTGCTTTATTTGACCTACTGGAGTTGTCAGGTGACTCGACAGACACGGATTTAGGATATGCATTCTGCTGCAGCCAACGGAGAGTGAAAACACGATGATTGTGCCAATTACACAGTTTCAATATTAAATCAATATGACCCGTTGCACAAGAGGTGGCTCTCGTGGCCCAAGTGGTCTAGTGGATAACGCTTTTGCGTTTGAAACTATGGGCACTGGGTTCGAGCGTCGGTGGGAACATCATCACTCACTGAGAAATGCAGGTACATCCAGATGACGAGTCCCAAATAGGAGGAAATGCGCATCGTGGATTCCACTGCTAGTCACCATCCACCAATTAAATACTAATTAAATGCCCAGATATCGTCGAAGCATCTGCTCAAGAAGCCGACATGTCAACCTGAGACCGAGCACTTCGGTCCAATCAATCGACGGGAAAAATCTAAAATTCAATTAAATTACACAGTTTCTTTGTTAATTTAATTCGATTGCAAAATAATTCAAATGAACTGTCGTCAAGATTTGACAGAACAAGTGATGTTCCTTTTATTTACAAACCTCTGTTATGTTAATTTCACTTAATTTCCCTGAAGAAGTTCGGACCAGATTGCCGAACGAAACGTTGGAATTACTCATTTCAATCTCGCTGAGATTTCACAAATATAATTTTTTACAAATGTCTACTTCTCACTCGGTGCCCAAATATTTTACAATTATTCTGTCAAATCCTGACGACAGTTCATTTGAAGAAATCTGAATGTTGCGGTAAACTGAGGAGCTGAAAAAGATTCTGAAATCTAATTTTCTTACAATCAGTAGCAAGACGTTAGCCTCAATTGTAAATACAATACGCTTCAGAGAAAATTAAACCAATAAACGAATTCAATTTACGTGGTGAATTATTATGCTAGGTCAGTTGAATCGTTTTTCCATCCACAGAAAATTTATGTTTAACTTTACTGACTTTTTTAACTACGAACAATGAGATATCAGTTAGGTTATCCACTTTAAGGCTAACAGTTTGACAAGAAAACGTTTATAATCAGATAATTCACGTTCAACACACACATATAAATTGCAAAGTAAAGGAATGGAGCAAATACCGATATAGGGTGAATAGTTCACATCCTATCGTTTGCAAGAAATTTATTAATTTTAATATTAAGCTGTCAAATCATCAGGCTTTGTTTCAATTATAAAACTCTCAGTGTACTTATTCACTTTTCCGTATTTGTTAACCTGTTGGAATAAGCTATCCACCTTCTCAGAACCGAGTAACTGGCTAGTTATAATAACTAACCCTTACATTTGATTTCAGTTTAAAGAATATCAATGGTAAGAGTTTCATCTTATATTTCACTAATGCATCGAGTTGCGTAAGTGTCACAGTTGAAGAAGATTCATATTTTCATACCAGAGAGTTTATGAGTTCCTTTTGAAATACACAATGATCTTTGACATTCACCATTACACTCGTAGGTTTAACTCCATAAGGGAAAACAGCCTGTTACAAAAACCATCCAAACAATGTATCATTCTCACAGTCAAGAAGTTAGCTTGCTTATATGTAGTATTTATGCTTCAGCACTACAGGGTCTTTCACCGGTCTCGTCGATTTACAAATTTCCCTAATCAGTGTTACACTCCAGTCTTAGGAATTATACATCCAAGTAACTGCCGACATGCTAAATGAATAGAACTCAGTCACATTTGTCGAGTATAATTTTATAACAGAATACCTTTACTTGATGAAAGGCTTCGTGGTACGGTGTTTTTTTCCATTTACTGACGCCAATCAGAGCACAGTGTATTGCTCATACTCATATCACATTTTACAAACTTCATGCATGCTAGTCTTTTTCCTTTCGTGTATTTCACAAAAAGAAATTTCTCTATAATCCATTCTTTTTCATCTCCTTACTCTATTATTCTATTGCTATTACTTGTCAAAAAAAATAATGAATGGTTACAACTTGTGAATATACCACAATAATTAATCGAAGCAGCCGTCAAACGCACAGACAAAAAAGAAGTACTCAAATCTGTCAACAAAATTAAAATAATTATATGCTTGGGAATAGTCATTCATTGAATGTGAATAATACATTGTCTAACAGTGGTTTTTTCCTACAACTTACCTGACTTTTAAATAACTTAGCCTTGTGAACGTATCCCTTAGGTAGGGAATCCAAAATCATCTAAAACGAATCAATAGAATGCAGTCATTAAAAATGTTTCTTCTTATTCTTTAAACTGTAAATCAGTGTTTCCGGCATAAGTGAACTATCTCACCATATCTCTGTATTGAGAAAATGTCACATTAAAACAGTAATGTGGTCTGTAGCCAATATTATGATTTTAACAAACCATTGACAGTAATATAAAAGTTAAACCAGCTGCTTATGTTGTTTATATAACCGATACTTTGATTGGACACAAGTTGGTAACTAGTGTAGCGCGTTTAGTCCCTTGTCTGCTGCAGACTGAATTCTGTCAGTGAAGTTTGCGATATCGACACCATTCTAGGTGGCTCACTATCACGGTGCACTTTGAATTACTCATACTAGATGGTAGGAAGCCTCGGACCTAGTTTGCGTTCTAGTTGGTATTCACTAGCAAGGCATATCTGCAACGCTGAAGGAACCGGCGTCACCCAGTGCTGCAGTTAGAGACGTTACTGCTGAGCTGATAATGAGTGCCAATTAGTACAAAACCTAGATCCAAGGCTTTTTGCCATTTCCTTCAACCATTTTATATATCTGATAGTTAGACATTTACCGATAAATCTTTGTTTCTGGTTCGTTTATCATTGAACAAAGTGTATTTCAGAAGTTTTTGATTGTCATCAAAGACGTTGAGCTGATGTTGGCTACTAGTGCAGGTAAAAGGCTACTCACGCTGTAAAATCGTATTTCTGTGCCCAAAGGAGACAAGCCAAGATATTGTTTTAATATCGGTTAACATCATAAGATATGCTAGTTAACTACCACGTTAACAACTTAAAGTTGGTTTATCCAAACTTTGATTTCTTCGTAATCGATTTTTTTTTCAAAGGCTCAGTAGCTGGTCTTATATCGTTAGTCTTTAGCTTCAACTAGAAAAAGGCTCGATTCTTTTAATCAAAACAGTATAGTTTATTCTATTTCCTTCTTAATTCTTAACAACTTCAAGTTAATTTATAAAATTATATTTGTAAAATCTCAGCCAAATTGAAATGATTAATTCCAACGTTTCGTTCGGCAATCTGGTCCGATCTTCTTCAGGGAAATTAATCGAAATTAACATATCAGAGGTTTATATATAAAAGGAACAACTCTTGTTTTAAAACCTTGTCCAAACATGAGCCATGCAACAGGCATCAAAATGTATAATAAATAAATAAATATAATTTTATGTTTATATATCAAAGTACATCTCTTGTTTTAAATTGTTTGTCCTGTCATATGAATTAAGTTATACATCTGAGCAACTATTTTACACTTTAAATTTCAATTAAAAGCAGTTTTGATTGGACACTAGTAACTAGTATAACGTGTCTAGTCCTATCTTTGGTGCAGACTGAATTCTATCAGTCAGGTTTGCAATGTGGCCAACATTCTAGGTAGCTCACCATCACAGTGCACACTGATTTGATGAAACCTATATTCAAGGTTTCCTGACGAATGCCTTCAACTATCTAATATCATCAAACCAATGTGCACTGTGATGGTGAGCTACCTAGAATAGTAGCCACATTGCGAACATGACTGATAGAATTCAGTCTGCACCAAAGAAAGCACTAGACACATCACACTAGTTACTAGTGTCCAATCAAAATATCCGCTTCAGTCTTACAGGAGGTCAATCGTGAGCCCGAATAGCTGAGTGGTAAGGTCTCTGACTGCAGCATTGGGTGACGCGGGTTCAAATCCCATGAGGAACACGAGTCCTTCAAGGTTTCAGATGCGCCTTGCTGACTGTTGAGTGCCAACTACCACGAAACCTAGATCAGGCAAGGCTTCCTGCCGATTGCCTCCAACTATGTGATATCATAAAAGCAGTTTTATTGAATATATATATTTAGTGATCTGGTGGCTAGAACATTTCAACTTTTCGCTCACACACTCTTCAGATACACTAAACATGAACAGTGCAAATAATCCATATTACATAGGCAATTCGTGCTCCATTGTCTCACTAAGAAACTGACGGGTGTTTATTACTATTTTATCTAAAAGCAGTCAATTTATAAAAATTAATGATAGCTAATAATTCACTTACAACAAAATTAGCAACATGTTCACCATGCTTATTTCCTGTGTCCAACTCAAACGATATGACTGAAAATAAAACAATTACAGAATAAATTAAAAAAGTCATTTCACCCATTAGAATATCTGCAAACCTTCTGAATTCATTTTTGTTCAGAAGGCAACAAATATAGTCAAGAGTGAAATTCTTTGTGAAGAGGTGTGTCAGGATTATTACCAATATATACATAGATAAAAATACGTATGAATGAAATATACAAAAGTGATCAGGTTAACAAGTCTTAAAATTCTACAGGCCTTTTGAAGATGCCTCATTTATATTACAGTATATTTAGGCTTAACTATAGGTTTCTACTTTGGTGAAAGTTGTACAAGACTTGACAACCTGTTTATCATTTTTTAAAAATTTCCTGTGTTTTGAAGTTGCTGTAGTGATTGAACAGATTTTCTAGAGTAGGCTTCCTAGTCCACCTCAAAACCTTCCCTTCTTTTTAGGGCTTAAAACCTGCTAATAGGTTAGGCGCATCATCAAAAGCGTTTCCGATAGGCTACTTAGAGACTTTTAACAGCAACTGTTTTCTCTGCATACTGAGTATCAGACGTCTAGAACGGATTAGCATCAAGGAAATCTGGCTACGAGCAGAACAACGAATATGGCGAATGAAACAAAGATGGATCTGATACACGCTGAGAAGACCACTAAATGACGCTGAGCGTAATTCTTGTCCTTGAGTGGAATCCGAGTGGGAAACGACGACTCGGGAGTCCGCAGTTGACATAGAAGAGATCGTCTGAGAAGGAGATAAGAGTTTGTAGACATTGCTCCACCTAGCTGAAGAAGACTGTACAAAACAGGGTGGGGTGGTGATGAAGCCCTACTTTTCACTTGGAATTCAAGGGAATAATGATCTGTACACGCTAATTCTTTTGTCCAAGCCATTCAAAGGATGAACACACAAAACACTGATAAGCCATTAACAGTACAAAACAGCTGTTGAGATGATTAACTGAAGGTATATTACTTTAAACACATGTAAATTTGAGGTACTAATAAGCCATATCTCATAAGCTCAGCTGTGAAAATTGTTAATGCATATTTAAGACTTGAATCATTTCTAATCTGAATCATAATGTTAATACGGGCTTCCGATATATCACACTTATTTAGAGTAAAGAGATGCAATAAAATGATGAACTTTTACACGGTTTAATTATCTTGAATTAATGGTTAGTTGATCTGTGATAGTGGTTCGCTGGCACTTTGGTAGAATACTATATAAGCCACGCATGTGGTCCGGGGTTCGACCCCCTACCATCGCACTCCTAAACCTCTCTAAGCCAGTAATAAGACTGGTAAAGAGGGAAGGTTAGGCATGAGGCTAGCAAACTCATCCCGTAAAAATAAACACCACTGCTACCGAAACTGCAAACGTATAGCTTGAAGCAGTGTGTCTGCTAGGAAAGTAAAGGAATAAAAAAACAGAAAATGATGATTTGTGATAATTATAATATTCAGTCCATTTAATTGACATTTTAAGCTAAAGTATATAAGAGACTGCTTTTTCATGAATAACTGTTTGTAGATGAACTGTAAGCAAACTTACGTTGTTGAGTTGTACTATTTGAATTAAATTTCGACGGCTTTTGTTGTTCACTAACAGATGCTAATTGCTTAACAAAATCATACGGCACTTCTTTGATGGTAATTTCTTCTTTGGAGGAATTTCTAAAGAAAATAGAAATATACATATACAATATCATGCAAAGCTTTACAGGGATTTAATGTAGTACACTTCTTCTAATTGTCATTTTAGTATAGTTACTAAATTCTCTCAAAGAAATAAATTCATCATGTAATCCTTAGCGTGATTACCGTAAAAATCGCAACAAGCGATACAAATTGTTACTCACTGCAACGAAATAGCTACTAAAAAGAAAGGCACTTATTATAAAGCATCTTTGCCAGATTAACGCCTAGCCCTCCTTATTTATCGGGCCTACTGCCTGCTAAACAGGGGTTAAGGGTGAACCAGCAAGGAGTCAAACCCTGACCACGTGAATGGTTTGTGAGTATTCTGCTTTTAAGCCATTATGCTCAAATAAGACCATAATGGATGCCTTGACATATCACGTTGCTAAACGTACCATGACAACTCGACACCTATTTTTTATTACATTGTACGTTGGGTGAATAGAGTTCAGTTACTAGTAAGGAATATCGTACGACTAATAAACGAAAACAAAACAATTAATTTTGGTGAAAATTATCTTTAAGATAAAACTTCTATATGGTTTTCAGTATAATGTACAGTATCTAATATTATCTTGTATTACTGGATCAATGAACGCTACAAATTTACTAGAAATAGCTTCAGAATGAAAGTATGCTAGTATGTGACTTCAACCGTAGTTAAATAAACATATAAAATACATAGTGAATTTCATTTAAATGTTTCAGAAAGCAAATATGTTTTTGAAGCGGTATATGTGAACAGAAATGATTTCAAATGTTCCATTTTACTAAACACGTAACAGGGAGAGTTATCTTCTGACACCTAGTGTAAAATAGGCTGGATGACAGACAGTTAAATAGCATGAGTTCATAAACAGTCAAATAGCATATTACTATTCTTATCTTTTTTGATAACTATAAGGTCAAACATATAAATCATAGTTATCTAATAGATTAATTAACTAAGGTCACCTAAAAAGATAAATTTTATGGTGAATTTCCAGTAATTTATCTAAGTGTTACAAAAGGTGACCGCGTATTCACCGAGTTAGTCCGCAATCATACCTTAATACAATAAAAGAAAATAGAAATTTTATTCTTTCGTATAGGTGACTGAATGAAATTATTCAATGTTTGTGACACATTTACTTTATAACATTCACCCTACACTCATAAATACAGTATCTATTGATATCAAATAGTTATGAACTACTTTCATTTATGCCGCGATAAATAAGTTTATGGACGAAATAAATAGGCTGAATCTACACCGAATAAATTATTTATTTGGTCATTAAACGTCACAATAAGAATTATCTAAATTTATCCTAGAATACATAATGAGCCTATATATATAATCTCAAACATATGAACATTTTAAGTATTATCTTTGTTTTAATTCACTAAAACCTGTTATCTTCAAGGTCATGAGTACAGTTTAAAATGTGAGTTAGGAATTTGGTTGGAATAAAATCCAAATAGTTTGTACCACTTGTATATTACATTGTTATTCATTAGTCATGAAACTGATTCGTAATTTAGCTTTTTTTGTTAAGATTAACATATACGTGAAATACAGTTAAATGTTTCAGAAAAAACATGTGTCACCTGTTTACTATACATGAAATATCTATCTAAAAATTGTAGAATAACGTACTACGCAGATTTATTCTTCTCGAGAGATTCTGTTTATATTACTGTAGTTATAAAATAATTTATACATTATTAGAATTGTAATTAAAAAATAGTATCCTCCACATAAATGACTATACTTTATTTCATAGCCGTTAGAGCCTTAATAGAACTGACTAAGAAAATATCCTTCATCCAGGTCAACGTTTTATGCTTGATATGGAAGGAAGTTTTTCACAGTGGGAAATCAAGTTTATTCATTTTCAACCATAAATGTCTGAGGCTCCTTGGAGTAAGTATGAAAATAACAAAAGTTTTTACTTCGCCGTTTTCAAAGATCATTATTTTTAGTGAGGGTTTGTCTTCCAAACACTCAAATGCCTATTGCATACAAGTACAAATAACACTGTGATTATTCCCTTCATTATTTCATTTCCATTTCATCCCGTTTCCTGAATTTCTTTTTACTTGGTTCGGGGATTACCCATAGGCTGTTATCTCCTCTTCACGCGATCTCCGCTATATCAACCTCGGAACACCAATAAACCCTTCAATTTCCCTTTGGGTTCTCCTTGAGAGGCTGCATTGCTCGAGATGTCAGTTGGCGTTCTTCTCAACGTGTATCCGATCCTTTCGTATAAACCTATGTTATGTTAATTTCGATTAATTTCCCTGAAGAAGTTCGGACCAGATTGCCGAACGAAACGTTGGAATTACTCATTTCAATCTTGCTGAGACTTTACAAATATAATTTTTTACAAATGTCTACCTCTCACTCAGCGCCCAAATATTTTAGAACTATTCTGTCAAATCTTGACGACAGTTCATTTGAATGTATCCGATCCACCTATATTTTCTTTGAGATATTATTTGAGCAAAAGGTTCGTGATTTGTTAGTTCACAGAGTTTGATGTTGCTAATCTTTTCTGGTTGGTCGGTCATTTGATCATCAGAATGAAGTGAAAGCAGAATTTTGTTAAAGTTTTCGGTGACGCGCGAAATCTTTTACTCACATAGAAGAACTGACTTGACACTGGTTTTGAAAATTTGAATTTTGTTCTTTATGATGAGTGCAGCAGTTTTTCAAATGGATTGCAGAATGATGGTCTAAGTTCTTCACTTAAAAGATTGAATGATTTAGTTTATTGAACAGTGGACATACACAGTTAGTCATTCATGGTTGGTAACACATTGTGACTTGTAAAATATATGCCCGTAAATTCAAATTCACTTGTAATGCCAACAAAGATTAATGTGGCCTAATTATACCTCCCAAACAACAACAGCAGGAACATCGTGCGTCAGTCACCGTCAACGGGAGGGATTTGAAAGAGATTACTTCATTCACTGATCTAGGGAGCATTGTCTCAACTACAGGCAGTCGGAACGGACGAGGATGTCAAATCGAGAATCGGGAAGGCGAGAAACACATTCATCAACCTGAAACCAATCTGGAAATCTTCGTCACTCACTCACTTCGACAACAAAATTCGGATTTTCAATACAAACGTCAAATCAGTCAGTTCTTCTATACGGATCAGAAACTTGGTGGGTCTCAAAGAATATTTCCAACAGCCTGTTGCAGACCTTTATCAACAACTGTCTTCGTTCTATACCCAAGATCAGATGGCCAGAAAGAATCAATAACAAGAAACTATGGGAACAAACAAAACAAGAACCAATCGCCCAACAAATATACAGGAGAGAGAGGAGATGGATTGGAGACTCGCTGAGGAGGCCGCTGGGTGACATCGCGCGTCAGGCCAGTGCTCGAGTGGAACCCGAAATGGAAGCGGCGAGTGGTACGTTCAAGGGTGACATGGAGGAGATCGTGTGAAGAAGAGTTGAAACAGTATGGACTAACCTGGATGCAAGTGAAAAGCACAGCAGAAGACAGAAGCAAGTGGAGACGTGCAGTTAAAGCCCTATGTTCCACTACGAACCCAAGGGAACAATAATAATAATAATAAGATAATTATACCTGACCAACTCAAGAACTTAACGAAGACTGTTTAGAAAATATAAAAGCATTTGAAACTTTATGCTTAGGGTTTTTTTTTTCCTTCACGTTCCTCAGTGGAACATAGGGCTTCAAGCTAGTGACTTGAAGTTTCTGTAGCAGTGTTTATTTTTACAGGATGGGGTTGCTAGCCTCATGCCCAACCTTCCCTCTTTACCAGCATTATTTCTGGCTTAGCGAGGTAAAGGAGTGCGCCGGCCGGGGATCGAACCCCGGACCATGTGCATGGTCGGCGAGCGTCCTAACCGCTATGCTACCGACGCATGGCTTTCGAAAATCCATTTGCATTTCCGTTTCTGTTCCTCAGTCTACGCCAAAATCCCAATCCTCGCGAAAGACCAGTTATCCTGTGAAGTTTCCCACCGCATATACATGAATTAATAAATCCAATTAGTCCATTGTTCACAAACTGTTCAAATACTCGCTATTCCGAGAGCTCATTAAGAAAATTAAGATCAGAAGACATGATTTGACTCAGTTATACCACCTGCAACTTCAAGTAGGTTTCCGAAGACATGTATCAATGTAACTGTAGTAGTTACCTTTGCCCCAAAAATATCTTGAAGAATTAAAATTATCCACAATGAAGTTTAAAACGAAATTCTTGCCTAATACCATGAAATTTTATTTTATTTATTTCAAACCCGAAATTAATTGAGTCTTTAGAAAGACAGAAAATTATCAGTGTTGATTAGTGTTGTATTTGCTTAGCATAAAATACTTATGTCTAAAACACTAACTGAGGAAACTTGAAGCAGTCAAATTTCCACACTCAGATATTGTCTGTCTGCTAAATGATATGCAGTTTTCTAAGAGAACAAATTCTCATTTAGTTTTCTGCATATATATATATATATCCAACTGATTTAGCATAGGGAACATACGAGATTATGCGTATTGTAGTTTAAGTCTGAATATTTTTTTATCGAAATCCCTAATACTCTAGATTCACAAAGATTACAGAGTTTATTTTTAGTAAATATAAATGCAGATTAAACCGTGAAATTGCGACAGATGACTGCTGTTATTTTTATATCTTTTTCTTTTTTTTCTACCAAGTTTATTTTCTCTTAAAGCAATATATATATATATATAGTTAATTGGTTAATATATCCATTTCCTTCTACACATGTTCTTATTCCAGTTTATGCCATATGTTGTACATTAACAACATGAAGGCGGATGCCATACTTCCTTTTAGTAAATACCCAAAAAATTCAACCGATTGCTCTGTGAATGAGGATGAATTCATCCTCTTATTCAGTCGTAATGACTAAACGAATTTTTCAGTGCTTAAGGTAACTCCTATTCAGTTTTGTAGTTTACTCATTATTGGTGGAAACTGTGACAAAGTATTTCTCACTGCCTAAGGAACTGTGGCCCGCTGATCTGCAGAAGCCCAAAGGACAAGACCTCGCATCTGACCACTTCTATGTGTATATATCAGTTCACTTGTTGCTGTGGAGCCAGGAACATATGTCGTTCGACGCGCATCCTGCCAAAAAGGGTCAAACAACACTATCCAGCGTGGCTGTTGAAAGGAATTAGTTGCCATATAAGGAGTGCAATAATCGAACATCTCATCAACACTGGTCATTTCATTTCAACAAACGCCTCCTTCAAAGTAATCTACAAAGTGAAGAATAACCTGTCATAGGCAATACGTTACTGTCTTCTTTGCTATGCAGAAGCCCTAGCCATTCAGTTGGAAGAATCAGAACTATGCACACAAAAGAGAATTATTCAACCACTTCTACTATCATGGTAACAACTCCATTGATTTGACTTAACTTTTGCTTGTATGCTTATTTTTCTAACTACTTAAAACTCTTGCGTAATTCTGTATGTCATTTTGTTTCCATGTACACCCTGAGCACAACTCTCTCATCGAACTATTGATGTTCTTACGTAACTCCTCTTTAACAACCGTTCGTGAAAACTCATCACTTTTGTTACTAGCCTCTTATATCAACATCCAATTCATCTGAACGCCTTTCGTATTACGTACCTCCACCAAAAGCTTACTCATTGTACTTTAGTTTGACAAATTTATTGTACACACACATACAAAATAACCATGAATATTTCCGATCTTACAGCTGTGAAAATGAATTCGGGGAAAAGAGACTTTTCACTGAACTACTGGTCTTCTGTCTATATAACATGAAACTGTATATATAACAGGATTTTTAACTGAATTAAAACTAAAGTGCAGTTTGTGTATATCCGATTTTTTAAATAAATGATGTTTGGATATGTCATCTGACACATATCTCTTCGATTTTAGTTGCTATTGCTCCTCCATAAATATGCTTTGTATGCTTATTTCCAATTAAAGTGTTACACTTCTCTGATTACAGACTCACTAATGCAGACTCAAATACATTTAGAAATTATAAATGTTTTCACTAAATGAGATGTAGTTTATGATTGTTTACACAAATGAATTTCTATGCATCTGGTTGAAGTCAGTCGCACAGTGCTCTTTCAACAGTCAGTGTCTTGTTATGCATCACCTATTGCTTTTGTAAGTGAACATGACATCTATTCATACAGCATGCATTAAGTGTGAATATTCCTCATCCCCTTGGACTCATTAGAAGAAGCAGTATTGGATGCTTAGTGCTCCTTCTTACATCATTTCACTTCTCACTACGCTTCGGAGTGCTGCACAGCTGCAGTCTAAGCTTTCTAATCTTCCCTTCCCCTAGTTGCAGCTAGGTTAATTCTCACAATTTTGAACTTGAACTGATTCGACTGTGTGAGCTGAGTTCAACCGGTGGGAATCGTTGATGAGATCGAAACAACTCTTCGGCGTATAGATCACTTCGATCGCTGGTGAATTTGACTGATATCGGACTACTCTACTCAATCAGTCAGCATCATGAGATCATGCTTACTTTTTTGATTACAATTTGCGGTATAAAGCAGATCAAATAGTGTGATCAAAATAATTTCAGTTTCCTAAGGAAATTGTAGTAAAATTTCACCTCGAACTATAAAATTTGCAAATAGTGAATTCATTTTCGAATTGAAAATTTTAAGCTTCATTGCAGACTTTTACGTCTTTCTAACAAAGTTAGATACCAACGTAAAAACGGAGTCCCTGATGAATTTTCCTAGATAATTTTCAAACGTGAATTGTGACTTGTTTCAGGGATTTTTATCAACTGTATCATTTGATTCTGACAGTAATATTTACTGATGATGTTTCGCGCACAAACTATTTCCACTCATAATCATATTGAGGTACTGACATCATAGACATCTGAAACCCTACGTAGGATTCTCAATAAAGCAGGAATTAGGGTGGCACTCAAACCTACAAACCCATTCAGAGACAAGCTCTACAGGCTAAAGGACCCAGTTGACCCAATTAAACAAAATGATATAATTTACAAAATACCTTGCAATGACTGTGACTGAGGTCAAACACACTGGTTAAACTAGTAGGTGGGGAATTATCAGATTACGAGAACATGAGAATTTGGCTAAGGTTAGAATGATTGATCTCACGAAGATAAATAATTTAGAAAAGAACTCAGCAATAACACTGCTCGCATTAACACATGACAATATAATAGGGTGGGACAGAGTCAAAATTTTAAAAAGTAATATAGGTGGGTGGAGAGAGAAATGTTGATTACTGCATCCTGCTTCATTCAATCTACACCCAGCACATGTAGTAGAAGTGACTCAACGCAAATATCAGAGATATGAAAGATATTATAACCACCAATCAAATCAGAGGAGGATCATAAATAATCTTAAAATTCTATTTCAATCCACGTACATTATAACATTCTAACAAGTTGTTTATTTTGACTATAAAATACTCGTCTTATTTCCTATCTGATTGCATTTGATCAATAACACTAATATTATTTATTATTATTAAGTTTAAATCAAATCAATTTTTCTTACCTGATTTCGCGCACAAGTACTTCTAAAGGACAATTGATTGATGGCTGATGTCGATTTGAAATAACCAACTCAGCTATCCACTGAGAAAAAAAAGAAAATAACAACAACAAAAAATTGATGGGATATGAAATGTGACAAGGTAATTATTCAGTGTCATAACAGACATCGTTTCAATAGATTTTTTTATGTCGCCATACAAATACAAAGACTTTTCATAGCTGTGTACAGTTTGACAGAAAAATAATTTAAGGTAACACTTACTGGAGTCCTGAATGTGTTTACCAACATACCAAATAGGCACATATACTTAAATCTTATTAGAATCTTATGTTACCAAGACCGAAGTCAACTTGTGTTTTCGAGAATGCGTAGACATCCTTTTTAACGTATGCGATCGGCGTGTTTGTTTACTTGATCACTAATAACATTTCAAGTATAACACTGCAATGATATATTGTAGGGGTATATAACTCACCAAAATTATTTGCCTACAGCTTTCATCACTCAACACAGGATGCTGTCCTTCACTGGTTAAATTGACTCGTTTAGGTGAAGACTCGCAGTCAAGCATCCACACCATTTTTCACGCCTTTGTCTTACGTTCGTTCTCTCGTGCACGATGGCTAGCTTACTAAGCAACAACGCTCACACTACGGTTTTGATCCAGAAATATATTTTGTATTTCCGACGATCAGTTTAGACTTTTGGTTTGCCTTTGATCTACACAATAGAAAAACTGTAAGAGTTTTAGGCATAACAACTTGCGTTATTGTTATTCTTATTATTCCTTTGGGTTCCGAGGGGAACATAGGGCTTCAACAACACATCTCCACTTTGTTCTGTTTTCTGCTGTCAGCTAGGTTCACGGTTGTCCGTAATCCCTCATCTCCTCGCACAATCGCCTTCATTTCACCCTCGCACTGACCTCCCACTCGTTGTTACCTATTCAGGTTCCACTCAGTCGAGAATCTGACGCATGATGTCATTCGACAACCTCCTCAACATATGCCCAATCCATGTACATTTTCTCCTATATATCAGTTGGGCTATCAGCTCTTGGTTGGTTTGTTATTAGAGTTTCTTGTTGTTAATTCTTTCTGGCTGACCATTTGATGTTCAATATGAAGTCAGCGAAGGCGACAGGTGTCGATAAAAGTCTATAACTTGTTCAAAATCCTTTTTGTGACGCGTGGTGCAAGTCCGTAACCCGTATAGCAGAAGTGACTGACTTCACATTTGTATTTAAAATCCGAATCTTGTTGTTTATGCTGACTGAAAACAAAAGATTTTCAAACTTGTCTCATTTTGATGAAGGCATATCGTGCCTTTCCGATTCTGTCTGGCTTTGACATGATCCATTCTGCCTGTGTTTGAAACTATGCTTCCTAGATAAGTGAAGGAAGTTATCTCTATTACATCTTTACCGTTGATGGTGTTTGGTGCTGGTTGTTTTTGTTGCTGTTCGTTGGTTATCTTCATCACCTCCATCTTTTCTACATTCATCTGGAGTACTGTCTTCACTACTAGCCTCTTCAGCTAGTTTGTTAGCTTTCGCTTGCAAGTCTTCGAGTTTCTATGACATCAGACATAAATCCTCTGAGAAGTTCAGATATTCTAATCTTCTTATTGGTTCATAGTATTCCTGTCTTCTCACCCTCGATGCACAGTCTAATGCATAATCCAGTCCATCACAACCAAGAATATCATTGGTGATAATAGATAGCTTTGTCTTACTCCTGTATTCACTTTGAACGCCTCGCTGAGTCTTCTGTTGTGGGACACCTGACACGTCTCATTGTCATATAGCCAGCTGTTGAACAAGGTTGATAAAGACTTGAGCACTGCACGCCGCAGTGTTGAAGTAGTTTCCAAATTACTTCTCGGTCAACGCTGTCGAAGTCTTTTTCGAAGTCGATGAATTTGAGATAGAGGTTTGACTACCGCTCTATCCTTTGTTAGATGACGATGCGTAGAGTTGCAATCTGACCAGCACATGATTTACCTTTCCTGAATTTAGCTTGCTTCGGTTGTCGGAGTTCTGTATCCAGTGAATCTTTTATTCTCTCCAAGATGATGCGACTTAGTATTTTACTTGGCGCGGACAAAAGAATTATTCCTCGCCAGTTCTTGCACAGTCCTAAGTTGCCCTTCTTTGGTAGCCTTTCATCCAATTAGTAGGTACCTTTCCTTCTTTCCAAACCATTTGCGGTAATGGCGTGAGCACATCTGCCGCAGTCTCTGCGTCCATTTTCATTAACACTCTCTCATCTCCTAAGATATTATGCAATTTAAATGCCAACTCCCTTACCCAAAAGTAAGTTGATACGAAAATCGATACTTAATTTCTGTCTTTTTGAAGTTCAGTCCATCATTTACGCAGTTATAGCCCAAAACGTTTCCTATAGTTCACTCACTTTTCTTATGCATGAAAATTCTTCATTTAGTTTCTCAAATATAATTATTTAGCAGACATAGATTAACTGTAATCCTCTCCATTATATAATTCAAATTAGAAAAGTTAGCAGCTATTGTTAACATTTTCGTCATATACTTCATGCTGCTGATGGTTCTTGTGTATTCTATCAATCTCCTATGAGTATACGGACAAACATTTATACAAATTCATCCTATTCGTTTTTATCACAGATCATAACTATCAGTAGTTTCAACATATACTTCAGGAAGTGATAGGCTTCCTGAAACGTATGAAACAAGCTTTACAATTTCTATGATACAAGGCTATATAAGTCACATTGATTCCTTACTTGTAATATATTAGTCATTTCTAAACTCCAAGGGTAATCAGATATTCGAAGCCGTCTGTGATTATATAATCGCAATTACAAGTTATCTTTAAAATGAATTCCCCAGACTTACACAGGAAGGGAATAAAATTTTCGCTGCAGTTTTTGATTGCTCCAGCATTTCACGCCTTGATATAACTGAACCGAGGACAACGCTGACATCATTTATCTGTAGAAGTAAAGAAAATGCAGAATCCACATGTTATTTACACTTTGAAATATCGTATTTCACAATAAGATTTAAGGATTTACACAGCAAATTCCTTCAAGAAAATAAATTAACAACGATACTTGCACAAGTATTTAGTTTAAAACCGAGTCAGATTAATTGTGATGAACTCGTTTTGATGGCTTATGTCAACATTTTCTTAATGTGTATGGATTTCTTGCATTTCTTGGCAGCAGCAATGTGTACCAGCAGGGCATTAACTGGACACTTACCAGTATGGTTTCCAAAGGGACAGCAGAGGACAGTCAACAGCTCAATTCTGGAGCACATTGTTACTTCCGGGAGCGCAGCATCAGCAGAGACTTCGTTTAACGTCTCTTATATAATATGAACAAGTTGCTCAAAAAAGGCTCTTTTATTTCTCTCTTATTCTGTATTCTATAGAGAACTCCTTCTTAAACATACTTAACTACCTAAATTATTAACATTGGCTTACTTTTTTGTACTTTACTGTATTCCTTCTATTGTGTATCCACTGGTTCCGACTATATTAGCACTATAAGTAGTACAAAATTTCCCTGTCATTAACCATCATGTAATTATTAGTTTTGTGGTTGTTTTTTCTTATTTTTTATTTTTTTCGGCAATACTAAACTGACAACCATTGTTTGTGAACGCCATAGTCACCACCTTAAAAAATTTGTATTATGCAGGATAACTCACACTACCACTACAAACACTGCATTAGACCTGACAATAAAAAACAAACAACAACCCTGAAATGTTATTTTATGATTGTTTAGAGTTGTTTCAACCAAATTAACTGATCATCTTGGCGATAAACATTCTTAAATATCATTTCATAACTTCTTGTATGACTATAGCTTTACTGTTACCATGCATAATCATATCATAGCTTCCACTACCCAATACTGAGTAATTATTATATGCTGTTTATTTTCCTTTCTACTTCTTGGTATTTTTTAGTATTTAAAAAAAATTTGTTTTGTGTTTTTCCTGTTTTTTTGCTGTTGGTGTCTTTATATTTATTTTTTTGAAATACTCCTTTTAAATGTTTGATAAAATTAGATGCAAATATTGTAGATATGTGCTGAGAATTCCACACTGTACCACTAGTACTGTTTCTGGAATAAAGCGAATTATTATTATTATTTAGCCTTCATCTTCTTCATAAAGCCAAAACTTTAGTGATCCATAAGGAAAAATCTGAACTTTGTATTCAGAAAAGTGTTATCCATTCTCGTTTACTACCACTTCCTTAGTGTCAGCTTTCGTTTCCTTGAACAGTTGCACAATGTAATCTATGTAGTTCTTTTTAACTTACTTTTGTACAACCCATTACCAGTCTCTTGTTCTCTTGTTTTTTATCAGTTATTTCCAAATGATCATTTATTACTAAACAGATTAGTTGTCATTCTTCCTGATGAGGTAAGACTATTCACAATTTTTCAAACAATATTATTTCTCATACACTTTGATTTTTTTGTTACTAGCTCACGATAACCCCTGATCTCTGTTGTCGATCAACACTGTGCATATACTAACTTACTGAACTGTATGATTTTGAAGACAAATTACAAAAAGAGATCTTTTTTGCTGACTAGTGTTATCTTAAAAACTAATTATTGTCGAAATGTGATTGTCTTACACATAAATTTCCAAAATTTTGAACTTGCCATCTGACTTATGGACATAAATGCCGTGAGCAAGGTGATCTGGTCTCTTTATTAACCACTGAACTAATAGCCATTGTTAACAATCTTATTTCTTACTAGTCCCTCAGTTATCTATCATCCTCTTTTCGTCCAAACTGCATGAAAGCTTTATTATCATTATATAATGATGAAGTTAATTTCGCCTTGAGGTTAATCACTGTTGAAAAACCAATGAGTCTGTTATAGGGTCGTTACAAGCTGCGATATTTATGTAATGCGCTGAACAAATAACATGTGAATTAATTGTTCCTACTTTTTATAAGAGATGAATTGATATCATTGTGTTATGTGGCGTGTTTATTAGAATGTGTTATGTGTGTACAAGACCCCATTATCCCTACAAGTTACGAAGATACCATCAATCGGCTTGATATCTTTAAATATCCTTTTGGTACAAGAAAAAAAGGACGCAATCAGACGGTTGATTTAGAAATGGCTAACGTGGTTGGGATGATACTTATGGTTTCAGAACTTCTACTTTATGTAAAGCAAGGGAGTAATAGTCAAACGTATGTGGAATATTCAAGTATTGGTTTTGTAGGGATTTTTGTTTGATTGCATGGAGGATTTCATCATAAGCTGACATCAGTTAGAGAACCGTTGGAAAACCTGGGAGTACTGGAATACTGCTTTCGTCCTATTTTGGGACTCTTCAGAAGTACGCACTCATCACAGAAGGTTCGAACCCAGTATCTTCTGGTTACAAGGCGAGCTCATAGACCATTTAACCACTGGGACCTGATCCAATGGCCAGTCCATGAATTCTCGCTTCTGTCGATTCATGACATAGCGCGACCATTTCACAATGTCTTCTTCGATGAGTTACTGCCTCATCTTCAACCTACTGTACCCTACTGATCACGACTTCTCACTAGAACCCCAGGTTGACTGCCTGAATAGGGTGAGTCGCTAGTGAGCATCAGATTAATTTTCAAGTATTGGTTTTGTAGGGCTTTTTGTTTGATTGCATGGAGGAATAGAAAACAGCTAGCAAGATGAACGATAGCATCAAAATATTAACTGACACACTTGTGAGAAGTAGGCATCTTTTATAGTTTATGAACAGAAGAAGAGGACAGTCCACTTTTGAGCCCTTAATCCATGCTGTATCATAATAAATAATGTATGTAACTGAACTACACTAAATACAGGCAATAAACAGTATGAGAGTTAGACAGAAACTGAAATTATTCATCGATAAATCACTGTCTAAAGTCAGTATTTAGAAGAAATAATTCTGTCAAGTAAATCCTTCTGAGATTTTCACACTTATAAAACTTGGCTGATGGGATTCAATCTGCAGTAACATCAAGGACTAGACGAATGAAATTGGTTAATACACAGTGTCCGATGAAAGCATCCACTACAGGCCTACAAGTGATCAGTCGCGAACACAAATAACTCAGTGGTAACGTCTCTAAGTGAACCGGATTTGAATCTCAGAAGGGATATGAACTCCATGAAGATAGCAGATACTTCTTGCTGACGAGTGCTAAAAAGCACGAAACCTAGGTGTGAAGCTTCATGCTGATTGTCTTCAACAATCATCATTATTAGCGAGGTATTTGGAATCGAAACGTCTAGATAAAATTCCCCTATGGGCTCTATATTAACAAGCACATATATGCATATATATATGTCTAATGTAATAGATACTACTTTATTATTATTATTGCGAGGTGGGTGAAGAATTATTAAACTTTATACATTTTAGAAAAAAAAGAATAAGCAGTTTATCTCAAGTTTGAAACGGTATCATGTTAGCAACAAATGCAACAAATTTGTCTGAATAAAGAGTTTGAGAAGAACAAAAAGACATCATTTTATTTCAACGGTGTTTTGTCGGCCGCGTGCAACCTAAAAAACACTTTTTTTCTAAACATTTGTACAAAGGGACTGTAACGTGCTTGAAAATGTAACGTGATGTCAGTTACCAAGAAATGCCGAAAGTAAAAAACAAAAGTGCTTAGAATTTGCTTTTAAGTAAATTAATTCCGTTTTAAAACGAAGGTATCTGAATACAATGGAAAACAAATTCCGCTAGATAAGAAGCGTACCCGTAGGTCGTTAGTAACTGATAAATTTGCGTTATAATTTGGTCAGTTTAACTAAAATAAAATGTTCGTGCATTAAACAGTAGCTACTAATCACAGTGTCGTTCTGTGATGAGCTAAAGTTACTCATAGAATCTCCAAAAACCACGAGATCATGTGGGGTTCATTTGTCCTAATGTGGAACTCTAACTGATGTCAGTTCAGGACAGAAATTATGTTGGAACTGGACAAGGGCTTGCAAAGCAACATTAACGGATAACAAGACTGAGGTGAATGGTTGATCGTAATATGATCATTATGTGAAATCAATGAAATGCAAATGTAAGTGAGTAATAGAAAAACTGGAGACAAATCGTAGCATGTTGGTGATGTCGTTCCGAGATATATGAAACTCCTGATAACAATTTTAGAAAGAGTTACAAATGCTGTATACAGATACTGGTGACTGAAATAGCCTAGAGGCTAAAACAGAGAAGTAAACGAATTGGGAGAAAAAATTGGGGAGGACATCAAGTTATTTAGTTTATTTACGGCTAAGAGAGGAGAAATGTCTGAATATGTTCTCTCTGAATGAATAGCTCCTACACGATGGCTGATAAGTTTGTCGTGTACTCGGTTAAGTTAAGTAGATGTACCTTAATCTGATTATATGATGTACAACATTATAAGCTTTGCAATTGTCCACATGATGTTGTGAGTTCGTTAAATGAGCCACGATAGAGAATTTTAAGGTTTTCAGGGTATATTCATTCATGAACCTTCATTATGGATGGAATGCCTGACATTGTAGTTCCGAACATTCTGGCGTAGGCAAAAATAATTGCTTTTTAAAAGGGAAAGCTGGTATACAAACGAATAAATGTCTTGAAAAACAATTACAGAATAAAAGTTTGTCAGGTTATGGTAAAAAACCAACATCTTTGTAAATAATAGAAACCTGAGGGAAATTAACTTTGTCGACAAAGAATTCAGTGAAGTGAACTTGAAACAGCCTCCAGAAATTTGTAAAAAGGCTGACAGGGACGAATGGCTCAATTAGTGTTTAGATAACAATTTAGTAACTACATTCAGTCATCCTAATCTGATATTAGCGATGCTGGTGTCACCAGTTATCAACTCTTCTCATATTTTAACACTCGTCCCTCTTGAATTGCCTAACACTTAGCTTATTTTCACTAATCTATTACTTTCATTTATAAAAATCGACTTG